GAAAACTGACAGTATAACCTTTTCAAAAGATTCAAACTTTTTTTAATGAAAAAAAAAACTCATTAACCCAATGATGGATTTTTTCTCTTTACTTTTTCATTCAGTAATCACACATGAACGCCTGTTATGTGCCAGGCACTGTCCTGAGCTTTGGTGACACAAAGACTTTTATTCCATGATCTCAGTAATGTTTTACGGCTGCTGTCAAATGGCACCATGTTCATGAGATGGCACTGGGTCCAAGAACTTGGTAGGTAGTATGCTAAAAATTGTCCAAGTTTGTGTCATCATGTCAACCAATCCGCGTTATCATTTCAGGAAAAAATCCACTATAACATATTTTTTTTTTTGACAGGGCCTTGCTCTGTCACCCAGACTGGGGTGTGTGGCACAATCATGGTTTACTGCAGCCTTGACCTCCCAGGCTCAAGTAATCCTGAGTAGCTGGGACCACAGGCACATGCCAGCACACCCAGCTAATTTGTTGGTTTTTTTGGGGTGGGGGGCAGGGGTTTGGTAGAGACAGGGTCTCACTATGTTGCCCAGGCTTAAGTTAATTTTTTTAGGCATCTTTGGTACGTAAACATGACAACCAATCGGCACACCAAAATTTTCAGTTTGCAATTTTAAATATATAAAGCCTAGGCCGGGTGCAGCGGCTCATACCTGTAATCCCAGCACTTTGGGAGGCTGAGGTGGAAGGATTGCTTGAAGCCGGGAGTTCAGGACTAGCCTAGACAACATAGAAAGATCCTGTCTTTATAAAAAATAGAAAAATTAGCCAGGTGTGGTGGTACATGCCTGTAGTTCCAGCTACTCGGGAGGCTGAGGAGGGATGATTGCCTGAGCCCAGGAGTTTGAGGCTGCAGGGAGCCATGATCGCCACTGCACTCCAGCCTGGGCAACAACAAATTCTAGAGATGTGTGTATACGTGTGTGTATGTGACTCAGCCGAGTCCGTCCTTTCACTGGTACTTGTCTGCAGGGAAGTCCATTCCTGGCTTCCTCATCTTGGCTCTGCCACCCTCGCTGTTGCAGCAGCCCCACGGTGGGTAAAGCAGCTGCAAGCACCCGTGGTGGGAGCAGTCACTACACTGAGGCCAGAATGGTCAGCTGACCCCCAAGGAGCTGCCTTCGTGGAAGTGGGGAGAGTGATCTTGATCCCACAACTGGAGCTACTAGCACCATCGCAGGAAAGTCTGCCCCCATCTTTGCTATGACTGTTTCTAGATTATAATACATACTCTCTACCGGGACCATTGAAACGTGAATATATTTAATCCAGACATCGTAAATTGCACAACCCTTACAAGTAAAGTATGAAGAAAAACCTAAACTCTTGGCTCTCTCGGCTGTTTTAGAAACAGATAATAGTTATGCCAGTAAAGCTGTCATTTTAAGTGAATTTCGTAATTTAAGAAAGGAAAACATCAAAGTATAAGGTTTTTCTGCCAATGTAATTCAGATCGGAGATGCTGCCTCCTTGGGCTAGTGTGCCTCATCACTTCAGGACCGAAGCCATTAAAGGCGGGCAGCGTGGTGACTATCGAATGGGCACTTTCCAAGAAGTTGAAGTGCCGCTTTTCAAAAGACAGTCACTTTGGGGTGCACGCCACAAGGAATCCCACACACCTCGCTGCCTGTGCTGTACACACAAAGGCCAGAGCACACAGAACCAGCATCGCATGTTTTTTTGTTGAGTGCAAGCAGATGGAATGGACTGATTGGTTTTTCTATGGTGTCCAATGGTTTTGATCACCGATCAGAATGTTCTTTATTCATCTTCATTTGCTAATCGTTGGCAGATGTCACTCCAGAGGGTGGCAGAGAAACACATATCTTTCCTCCACATCTGTGTCCCCCAACCCCATCCTTTTAACAGGGAAGCTTTTGAGCCATGTGTTGTTTTGCTTTTTTGTTTATTTTTGTGTGTTTCCCCCCCAGTGTCTGGGGTGTTTTGGGACCTACCAAAAAACTATTTTTTTAAGTTAAGGGGCACATGTGCAGGATGTGCGGGTTTGTTACATAGGTAAACGTGCCATGGGGGTTTGTTGTACAGATTATTTCATCATCCAGGTATTAAGCCTAGTACCCATTAGTTTATTTTTCCTGACCATCGCCCTCCTCCCATCTTCCACCCTCCAATAGGCCCCAGGGTGTGTAGTTCCCTTCTCAGTGTCCATGTGTTCTCATCATTTAGCTCCCACTTATAAGTGAGAACACGCAGTATTTGGTTTTTCCGTTCCTGTGTTAGTTTGGTAAGGATAATGGCCTTCAGCTCCATCCATGTCCCTGCAAAGGATATAATCTTTTTTTTTTTTTAATGGTTGCATTGTATTTCATGGTATATGTGTACCACATTTTCTTTATCCAGTCTGTCATTGATGGGCATTTGAGTTAATTCTGTGTTTTTGCTATTGTGAATAGTGTTGCAGTGAACATACGTGTGCATGTGTCTTTATGACAGAATGATCTGTATTCCTTTGGGTTTATACCCAGTAATGGGATGGCTGGGTTGAATGATGTTTCTATCTTTAGGTCTTTGAGGAATCACCACACTGTCTTCCACGATGGTTGAACTAATGTACACTTCTACCAGCAGTGTCTAAGGGTTCCTTTTTCTCCACAACCTCGCCAACACCTGTTTTTTTTGGACTTTTACATAATAGTCATTCTGATTGGTGTGAGATGGTATCTCATTGTGGTTTTGATTTGCATTTCTCTGATGATCAGTGATGTTGAGCTTTTTTTCGTATGCTTGTTGGCCGCATGTATGTCTTCTTTTGAAAAGTGTCTGTTCATGTCCTTTGCCCACTTTTTAATAAGTTTTTTTTTCTTGTAAATTTGCTTAAGTTCCTTATAAATGCTGGATATTAGAGCTTTGTCAAATGCATAGTTTGCAAAAATTTCCTCCCATTCTGTAGGTTGTCTGTTTACTCTGTTGACAGTTTCTTTTGCTGTGCAGAAGCTCTTTAGTTTAATTAGATCTCATTTGTCAAGTTTTGCTTTTGTTGCAATTGCTTTTGACGTCTTTGTCATGAAATCTGTGCCCATTCATGTGTCCTGAATGATGTTGCCTAGGTTGTCTTGCAGGGGTTTACAGTTTTAGTTTGTAAATTTAAGTCTTTAATCTATCTTGAGTTGATTTTTGTATATGGTGTAAGGAAGGGGTCCAGTTTCAATCTTTTGCATATGGCTAGCCAGTTCTCCCAGCACCATTTATTAAATATTCCCCATTGCTTGTTTCTGTCAGGTTCTACAAACTATTAACCTGGATCCCAGATGTTCATGTTCAGTCAGAATTCAATCGTCTTTTTTTTTGTGATTCCATTGATAGTAACCATCTAGATTCAGCCAACAGGAAAGACGGATTTTTGTTCATAAGGAAGGAAAGAAATATTACGGCCCCTGAGCTCTAACTGTCCCTTGCCCTACTCTGTCTTAAGATCCAGGATCCCTCACTCAATTCTAGACACAAATAACAACAGGCTGGAAAAGAAAGTGCTGCAGCTCAGGCAAGGCATGAACGTGCAGATGTTGTCTGATGCTGAAGAATTTTGCCAGACAATCAGTATGGGCGGCAACATTGGTGAAAGAAATGAAAACCCCACTGGGGAAAGTTATATCCAAACTCTAGTTCCCCTAACCCTGCCGTTCCAAGAGGTGCTTTTATTTTTAGCTATCCTGCAAGATAGTTTCTTGTCTGGCGGTTTTTATAGAAACAAAGCTGCAGTGAGTGTTGCCTCCATCCCCACCCCCATACCCAGGATTCATGAAAGTCCTCGTGGGGCAAAGCATGTATCAAAGATTTAAGGGATGGGTAAAAGGAGTCCTTTATCGTGTCCAGGCTGCTTTGCACTTGAGACCATCAACCCCCACAAGCTCCCTGGCCCCTGGCCTTCACTGATGCTCGGTCCTATAGAAGCGCTGGTCATAGGTGGAAGCAAGCAGGTATTTGCTGACTCAACATACAAGAGTGACTGGCATTTCTGGTATTTAGAGCTTGACCTCAAAAGAACACATTATGGTGTCTTTCGATTTTGTTAATAAAGGACGTTGAAGATGTTGAATATTATGTGAGGACTGAAATTTTCTTTTTTGCTCGAACACATTCTGGGTGGATGTATGCTATTTGAATTTTTATGGTTAATGAATTACTATTGGAAAGCATCAGTCAATTTTTCTTGTTATCTTTGAGTATGTAATGACTTTCTGGCAAATTTCAGCATGGATGTAAACATCAAGTATAAATGTGAAATGCAGTTCCTATAAGCCACAGCACTGGGATTGAATTGTAAAGCCCAGAATATACAAAAGTGTGTCAGCGAGGGATCTTCAGTTCTCCAGGAAAGCGCTCAAAGGAAGGTTACAGTTTATAACAACATCCCAGCACCTGTAATCGCTACAGCACTCAACTACAGGTGGGAAAAGGGAGGAAGCAAGACATGAACTTGGACAGTCCCTCAGTCTCTGGAACCTTCCAGCAGGCCATGAAAGCTCAGAGCAGAATGCCATGCCCTTCCTGACAGCCCTCTGCCTAATCCCTGCCATCATGCTGCATTTTCCTCTAGGGCAAAAATAAAGCAGTCATTTTCATGCTTTGCAAAATAGTTCAAGCTTTTTGGATTTCCTTGCATTTTTGTAGATGATTGGATTTGGGGATGCATTTTAAAAGCCATTCCCAGAACAGCAGCAAAATAGAAAAAGCCATTTGAATGTTACACCACCTTCCCTTCCAAAATGGCCACACGAATAACCAGTGCCCGACTACCAAGGGGCACCAACTTCACTCCCGATTTTACTTCTATATATGAGTTGCTTTAACCTTTAGGATGACTTTGACCTCGATGCCTGCTCTTTGAGTTCCAGGTCATGGTTGACAGATGTGTAGGCTGCGTGCCTCCTTCCTCCTTGGGGTGCAGGACAGCTTGGTGGTGTTTTCCTGTTTGCTCACTTGGCTTTCCTTCCCTCTCCTTCCCGGGGGTCTCGTGGGCTGGCAGCACCGTGGTCCAGCAGCCCAACTGCAGAACCTCAGTGCCTTCCAGCAAGGGCAGCAGCAGCAGCAGCAGCAGCGGCAGCAGCAGCTCCTCCAGCGACTCAGAGAGCAGCTCAGGATCTGACTCGGAGACCGAGAGCAGCTCCAGCGAGAGTGAGGGCAGCAAGCCCCCCCACTTCTCCAGCCCTGAGGTAAGCACTACCTGGCTCAGGCCCCTCCTCTGCCCACTTTTGTCTCCAGGATGATAGCAAGTCCTGGCATCGTCCCTGTCACACTGCTGCAGGTCTCCTCCCTCCTGCAGAGCCCCAAGCCAGGTGCTGGACAGGAGGAGGCTGTGGGCCTTGGGCTCCACATTTTCCCCATGCTTTCCCCACCTCACAGTGTCCTAATTACACAGCTTCCTTTGAAGTACAGAAACATCAACTTTCATTGCTCCCAAATCTCTATCTTGACTTCCAGAAATTTCCAAGTATGCTGTAAACATCACTGACAGGAAATAACCTATGGCTCAGGTCTCCCTCGGGGTCAGCCAGGGCAGTCACTGGACAGGGCCACTCACCGCCTGGGAAGTGTGACCACCTGTAAATCACAGGGAAAGGGGTTTTATGGATTGGACGTGGTCAGATTCTTACCTTTTTGCCGTTTGTCATGGATCAGAAGAACAAGGGCTATAAATATTAATAAAACCTTCTTAACTGTGTTTTCTTTGTGAAAATATAAAAAGAAAAATTAGCATCAACCTCCAAAAAGTGATGGAACCTTTTAGAGCTGTGATGAGTATCTATGTGGAAGATTTAGGTGCCTCCTATAAAAACATTAGAAGGTACCAATAAAAACCATTGCTATTTCTACTTTAAAGTAGAAAGGGGAAAATTAAATAGTAATTCAGAGCACGAAGATTCTTGGGAGAGGGCTGAGAGAAACTTCCCCAGGCTGCAGAGCTTTAAGGGTAGACTCCAATTTCTAAACAAGGAATAAAATAGAGTTTCTTCTTGAGTGTGTAAACATTTGACATGACTGTGATGGTCAGGTTTAATTTTTTACTTGCAACCCTCTGTACCCTGTGGGGGACCATATTCCTAAATAGGCTCTGAAATGGAACTAAACCCACTTCTACAAACCATCATAGTGGGAGGGGAGCATCTTAATGGGCCGGATCAGCCTCCCCGTGCCCAGCTTTTATAGCGGTGCCTTAGATGTTATCATACCTGAAAGCAGTGGTATTTCCATCTCAGGTTCACAGAGTGGCTCTTCAGTCCCTTCAGGTTTTTCCCCTCCCTACTTCTTTCAGGAGGCTGAGGATTTTTGCAGGAGCACTGTGAAATCAGGGAGATTTTGTTTCCCCACTCTCCTCATTTTCTCCTCAGCATCCTTCTGCCCTGCCTCAGGACTCTCCATTCATCTTGAACCATGCCGTCTCTCCACGCTCTCCTTCCCATGAGGTTCTGTCTCTGTCTCTCCATCTGTCCATCTATCTGTCCATCTATTTATCCAACTGTCTATCTCTGTATAAGGAGAAGGCTCTTAGCAACATTAACCTATGAAAGCCTTATGGTAACATAACCCTGGCTTTTCCCAGAAACTAAATTATTATTCCTTCCGCATAATTTCATTTACTCATTCATTCATTCATTTACTCATTCAGAATTCATTCAACAAATATTTACTGAGCATCAGTCACACAGTACTTGGCCCTGGAATATGCAATTATAGGACAGAAAATGTCCCTATCTGCATAGAGGTGACATTCTAATGGGGACAATTCAAAATGAAAACCATACAGGAGTTAGATAAAGTAGAAGAGTTGAGCCGGCTTCTTTAAAGCCTGCTTTCTGCTATACTTTGTAGAGAAATTCTGGAATATTTAGTTATAAGAAATAACTGTGTCCCAGGGACAGTACAAGGACAGGGTAGGCAGTGGGGATATCCAAAAAGTGTTCATGTGTCTGAAGATCCCCCATCCAGGCTCCTCCTTGTGGCTTTGCAGGTTAAATTCATGAATGTTCAGTCTTATTTTCATCCTGAAATGTAGGTCCTAGAGCTCCCGTGTTGACTGAAACCTCATTTAAGACCAGTACAGTTGGCCGGGCGCAGTGGCTCACACCTGTAATCCCAGCACTTTGGGAGGCCGAGGCAGGTGGATCACGAGGTCAGGAGTTCGAGACCAGCCTGACCAACATGGTGAAACCACGTCTCTACTAAAAATACAAAAATTAGCCGGGCGTGGTGGTGGGTGCCTGTAATCCAGCTCCTCAAGAGCCTGAGGCAGGAGAATCACTTGAATCCTGGAGGCGGAGGTTGCAGTGAGCCAACATCACACCACTGCACTCCAGTCTGGGTGACAGAGACAGACTCCGTCTCAAAGAAAAAGAAAAAAAAAAAAAAAGAGCAGTGCAGTTATAAAGTGCTTTAAGCCAGTGCTTTTTAAATGTCACTGAGATAATTACAAAGACTTGAACTCTTGGGTGATGAAAGGAGGCTCTTGTCACTTCTTCCAGCAGCTATCAGAGGCCCCTCACTAAGGAGAGGCGGCAAGAGCCTCCTAAAGGAGTCAGTCTTAAAAGTTTAAGTCACCTGAGGCTACGTGTGGTTTTGAATTCCTGGCTTCCCTACACAGAGGACTGCGGAAGCAGCAGGTCGTGTGTTAGCCACGCTGCACGTTCGTTCTTTCTGCAGGAAAGAAATGTATTTGTTGGAATAAAAGCAAAGTTCTTTTAACATTTTTCCGAAGGATAATACAGACACACACACCCTTTAGAAAGAAAATGAGTTTGCAGACTGCAAATGGCAAAGGCGGGAAGTAACATCACCCTGTGTGTCCTCCGCAACTGTGCTGCCTGGTCTGGCGGAGCTGGCCCAGGTCACCTTACAGAGAGCAGTGAGACTCCGTTTCCTCAACCCCACATGACAGTCGGGCTCTTCATAGCCATGCGCCTCACATTCCGCTGCTCAGACCAGTTTGTGCTGCTTTGAAGCAGAACGCCTTTGTTCCTCACTCCCCTGCTGTAACATCCTGCTGTGGGCGTAGGAGGCGCCCTGCATTCTCCCCACCGTGTCCCAGCACTCAGAAAACCCACTGGGCTCAGCTGAGATGTGTAGGAGATGTTCTTTCTGCTGTGTGTGTTGAGAGCCAATTTGTTTCACGTAAATCACTGTAGTATGGTAATGCCATGTTCCCACGCGGCATGGAGGGGCCTGCTCTGTGGCATGATGTAGGCTTCATTGGTCTCAGAATACTTTTTCTCACCGGAGTCTAATCTGCTTTCCGGGCACTGTACAGCCTCTTACACCAGAGCTTTGCAGGGGAAGTTGCTTTTCCACTCAGTTAACATGTTGACCCCACACACGGAACTCCCTCGACCTTTGTTGTACAATAAATATTATGTAGGAGAAAAAAAAATATCCCAGACACATCATGTTGAGGAGATCTGGGATAAAATAGGTTTATCCCAGCTCTTTACCTACAGAATCATCACCCAGCCCTTACTATGGCTTGGGTGTACTGTGTTTTCCATTGTGACATTTCCCAAATCGATCTGACTCTGGAAATCCTCCTTCATGGGACAGATGAGCTCAGAGCACATTTTGGAAAATGCTGCCCTAGATCGTTCTTTAAAATCAGCAGAAATGCGATTCAAGTTGCTCACTGATTCAACAAGCTTCTCATTTATTAGGTGCCTATGAGGTCCGTGGCAGCAGGTACTTGAAGGATTTAGATGAAGCAGGGAGCAGAGTGCATGGTGGAGAGCTGGTGCCTGAGTCAGAGGGAAGATCAATTAGGGAGGAGAGTCGTGGCTGAAAATATAAAGCAGCGAGCCAGCAAACAAACCAGAAGCTTGGGCAGAAACCCCGGGTGGACGGCTCAGGAGGCGGACTGCTGCATGCCGTGGCCTGGCGTCTGCAGCCTGAGTTTCCCCTCCTCACTGCCACTAAACTCTGTATCCTTGCAGCTTCCTTGGTCACAATTGCCTCATTTCCAGAATGCAAGATATTCCTGCTCTGCCTAATCTGTGAGGTTGTGGGTGGGGGCGGGAATGATGATGATAAAGGAATAAGTGGTACAATGTGAGTGACAGCTCATTGTGAGTTCTTATTAGGAGGACAGACGTAGTAATCTGCCTCCCTGACCTAGTATAGATGCCGCAAGGGATACTAAAGAAACAGAGACCTGGCCCTCGCCTGAAAGAAGCATTTGGCTTTTTTGAAGACACAAGACATATATACACATGAAACAAATACAGACATCAAAAGACAAGGCAATTGAGTGTAACAGAGGGCAACAAGTACTGTTTGGAGTGTTCTTGGTGTTTTCTCCAAAATTCGGATCTAATTCTGTCATCTTAGGTTGAAGACTGACATTTCTCGAAGGAATGCGGTCCCCCTCTCACGAGGCTCTGCCAGACAGTAGTGGGAGACACAGTGATGCAGCAGTGGAGACAGCTGGTCTTTAAACCTAGATGAGTACGAAGTTAGTCTCGGTAGAGCCCGGTAGCTGTGCAGCGCTGGGTATGTCCCTTAGGCTCTCTGAGCCTCATCTACAAGTTAGGGGTGATAACCGTTCTTAGCGGTAAAGATTAAATGAGATAATACACATGAAGTGGGAGTTAAACTGTAGGTATTCTGACAATGGAAGATAATAGACGCCCTTGAATGCCAGCCTTAGGAATTTGGATTTTGTTTGAGAGGCAATAGGAGGTTATTGTAGATCCTTGAGAAAAAAAAAAAAAAAGTATGATTTAGTGATGTGTGGAAAGTGGGTACTTCAAACTGATTTCTTCAGCTGTGAAGTGCCGAAAAAATGACCCTAAAGCATACCAGGCAGTGGGCCTGTACTAAATGTATTAAATTCTGCCCTTCTGTTAATGCTCCTGCTGGGAAGTTTCAGTGTGAATTTTCCCATGTGCAGCTGTGTTTTGGCTACAGACAGACTTCCGTGTTCTCTCACATATGAGATGTGAGCGGTAGAAGGCTCTGGATGGTGGCAGCGAGGAGAACTAGCGTGAAACGCAGTGGTGGGGCCAGCCTGAGGGGTGTGTTCTACCGTGTGTGTGTGTGTGTGTGTGTGTGTGTGCGCGCGCGCCCTCTCCCAATGTGCGCCCTTTCTGCAAGAGGCCCCTTCAGCACCCGTTCCTATTTACTGTGCCCCATTTTTCTAGGGAAGCTGAGGCACAGGTGAAGGCACTGACTTAATGAGAGAAAAGGGGGTTGGAGGAGACAAAATTAGAAGCCATTGATTTTTGCCACCAAAGTAGCTTTCAGGCGGTCTCAGCTAATCTCAGGGGAGGTGAGGGATCCCCTTGGCCGAGAAGCTGTTCTGTGTCCCACTGTCCTGCTTTCTCTGACCATGGGAGGACACCTACCACTGCCACATGCACCGGGCACGCTCCATAGGTTTCCCATGTTCCCGTTCTCTGGAGAAGCTAAATAAAGCGAGGTCATGATTTACATAGAACTCAGAGCAAAAACGTTGTCTTTCTACTCATTTGCATATTTCTCTGGAGCCTCTGGTTCTGTTGGTGGCATGAAAACAAGCAAAGAAAAAAGTCATGTCAGAGACCAGAATCTGTGTCAGGGCCAGGGGGGTCCCCCCTTCCCCACCTACACTCCAGGATGGGCTTCTGCATCCTCACAGCCCAGGGAAGGGGCCTTCATCCTCCTTCTGGCCTTCACTGAAATTTTCCTGCTTCTCCAAGTCACCAGCCACCCTGTGCCAGTCTGCCCTGAAGGGCAGTTGGTCCCATCTGGTTTCGGGCAACCAGCAAGATGTCCACAGTCCATGTCATAGCTCTGGTTGCCCGATCCCCATGCTCTGTGGCCAATTCCTTTTGGCCCCAGGCCCCTCTGGTCCATCAGAGGCTTCCCATTTCCCTGAGCTGTGCCCCGGACTCAGCCAGGGCCCCTGCATCTATGATTCTTGTTCCCCCTCTGAAATCCTCAATGCCTGGGGTGAGGCCAAGAGCCCTGAGGTCTGCTCTTTTTTTTTTTTTTTTTGAGATGGAGTCTCGCTCTGTCACCCAGGCTGCAGTGCAGTGGCGCGATCTCTGCTCACTGCAAGCTCCACCTCCTGGGTTCACACCATTCTCCTGCCTCAGCCTCTCGAATAGCTGGGACTACAGGCGCCCACCAATATGCCCGGCTTATTTTTTGTATTTTTAGTAGAGACAGGGTTTCACCACGTTGGCCAGGATGATCTCGATCTCATGACCTTGTGATCCGCCCACCTCTGCCTCCCAAAGTGCTGGGCCTCCCAAAGTTACAGGCGTGAGCCATCACACCCAGCCAAGTTCTGCTCTTAATACAGGCCTCACTGTTGAAAAACAAACCTGATACTTCAAAGGAACCTTTTCAATTTATTATGTTAAACTGTTTTTTCTCTGGCAACAGACTCAATTTGCTCTAGACTTAAACTGATCAAGCTTGAAGTATGGAGCCTAAGCAGTGTCTTCTTACTCTAGCCTTGTATCTGGTCTCCCCTGAAACAACGGATGACATGAATTCGAAAGGTGGAAGGCCACAGGGAAGAAAAAAACATATCACCTTACCCAACATATTTTCCCCATTTCACTTAGAGTCACAAATTGAAAATACTCTGGCTAAAATTCTCTTATTCTCAGTACATCTTTTTTGTCTTACTAATCATAATACTGGATAAATTGACTTTTTTTAGACATCGGCATTTAATCCCTGTAAAATTATTGGATTGGTCCTTTATTTATTTATTTATTTTTCCGAGACATAGATTCTTAGAGACACAACTGAAAACTACAGACCTCTTCAAGGAACAATATGCATCGACACATTTCCCATCCATTTCAGGGCATTCACTAGCTATCCCCACACCTTCAGTCCCAGAGCCAACCTGTAGGCCACAGTTCCAAACCAGTGACTTTCTTGAGTTGCTCTAAGTCAGCAAAACTGCTTGCGGGAAAGTGTTCCATCTCACCTCCATGTCCGAAATATTTCTAGCAAAGTGTGATGGAAGCAGGTTGGAGATAGACTGACCCAGTCAGGCTGCCAGAGATACACAAGTCCCTCTGAAATAGATCTATATGCAAAACAAGCCATCTTCCCAAGGTCATTGCTCCTACCACCAAATAACTACAGCCTACCTGCCCTCAACACATAAATCGTGTGTTAATTGTTTGGGATTGCAGGTTCCACTTAGTCCCCTCTTCAGATCTTCCCAAAGGTTTAAGTCTCACCAAAAAAAACAAGGGATTTATGCTCAGGGCCTCTAAACTATTCTCTAGTTAAGTTTTAGAGAATGTCAAGTTTACATATGTACATATAATTATAAAATATATATATATATACTAACACTCAAAAGTACTAGGAAATGGGTTCTAATGAGGCACAATGCTTTCGTTATTTTTTCAAAGACACTTGAAAGTGCTGCAAGGACATTTAGTGCCACGGGCAGGTAAGGACAGCATCATCCAGGCATCCTGAGTGCCACATGGGGCTGTGACACACACTTAATGCTTCCATTTTCCCTTTGCTTCCGGCCCATTCGTTTTCTGCTCATACCCTTAGAGGAGTTAAGTCGAGATGAAAACAGCCAGGCCCCTGTTAAGTGAGCCCGTAATGAAAGATGTTTTGTTTGTCGCCGCTTTCCTGCTTTCAGGCTGAACCGGCATCCTCTAACAAGTGGCAGCTGGATAAATGGCTGAACAAAGTTAATCCCCACAAGCCTCCTATTCTGATCCAAAACGAAAGCCACGGGCCAGAGAGCAATCAGTACTACAACCCGGTGAAAGAGGACGTCCAGGACTGTGGGAAAGTCCCCGACGTCTGCCAGCCCAGCCTGAGGGAGAAGGAGGTCAAGAGCACCTGCAAGGAGGAGCAGAGGCCGAGGACAGCCAACAAGGCCCCTGGGAGTAAAGGCGTGAAGCAGAAGTCCCCGCCCGCGGCCGTGGCCGTGGCTGTGAGCGCAGCCGCCCCGCCGCCCGCAGTGCCCTGTGCGCCCGCGGAGAACGCACCTGCGCCTGCCCGGAGGTCGGCGGGCAAGAAGCCCACCAGGCGCGCGGAGAGGACCTCAGCCGGGGACGGCGCCAACCTCCACCGGCCCGAGGAGCCCGCGGCCCCGGACGCACTGGGCGCAAGCGTGGTGGTCCCCCCGGAGCCCACCAAAACCAGGCCCTGTGGCAACAACAGAGCGAGCCACCGCAAGGAGCTGCGCTCCTCCGTGACCTGCGAGAAGCGCCGCACGCGGGGGCTGAGCAGGATCGTCCCCAAATCCAAGGAGTTCATTGAGACAGAGTCGTCATCGTCGTCCTCCTCCTCGGACTCCGACCTGGAGTCCGAGCAGGAGGAGTACCCTCTGTCCAAAGCACAGACCGTGGCTGCCTCTGCCTCCTCCGGGAATGATCAGAGGCTGAAGGAGGCCGCTGCCAATGGGGGCAATGGTCCCAGGGCCCCTGTAGGCTCCATCAACGCCAGGACCACCAGTGACATCGCCAAGGAGCTGGAGGAGCAGTTCTACACCCTGGTCCCCTTTGGCCGGAACGAACTTCTGTCCCCTCTAAAGGACAGTGATGAGGTCAGGTCTCTCTGGGTCAAAATTGACCTGACCCTCCTGTCCAGGATCCCAGAGCACCTGCCGCAGGAACCAGGGGTCTTGAGCGCCCCTGCCACCAAGGACTCTGAGAGCGCACTGCCCAGCCACACCTCAGACACACCTGCAGAAAAGGCTTTGCCAAAATCCAAGAGGAAACGCAAGGTAGGCCTGGGGCTGGGACTGGGGTGCGGGGGGTGGGGGGACGTGGAGGGGAAGGGGCTATCTCTTAACTTGTGGGTACTTGGGTAGAGCACCATAGGCTGCTGTTAGGGACCGTAGGCTGCCGCAGGAATTTTGTGTGTCCTTACCTAACACACACTTCTAGGGTACTTTCTATATCCAGACACTGTTGTAAGCATTTAACATCTAACTTGGCTGAGTCCTTAGAACTGCTCAGTGAGGAAAGTACCATTATTATCCTTTTTTTCTGAGAGGGAGTCTCGCTCTGTCGCCCAAGCAGGAGTACAATGGCACGATCTCGGCTCACTGCAACCTTTGCCTCCCAGGTTCAGGCGATTCTCCAACCTCAGCTTCCCAAGTATCTGGGATTACAGGCGTCCACCACCATGCCCAGCTAATTTTTTTGTGTTTTTAGTAAAGACAGGGTTTCACCATGTTGGCCAGGCTGGTCTCAAACTCCTGACCTCAGGTGATCTGCCTGCCTCAGCCTCCCAATGTGCTGGGATTACAGGCATGAGCCACCACGCCCGGCCTATTATCCCTATTTTATAGTTATAGGTAATTAAGCCTTATCCCACTGCATGTCAGAATGGGAAATATGTATCAAGTGTGTGCACACACAGCTGGATGTAGGCTCTGTGAGAAAGCTAAACACATGAGAACCCCACTCTTTGCCTGGAGGAATGGGGTGACATTGATGGTGGGATCACTCATTGACCCAAGAGGCCAGTGGCCTCATGAAGTTCAAGGCTTTGGCAGGTGAAAATGAACACGGCAGACCCTAATGCAGCATCAGAACCAGCAGCTGTTGCTTCCGTTAGCATTGGTCAAGGAGGGCTTCATGGTGGAGGGGCCCTGAAAACAGGGCTCTATAGAGGAGGGACATTTGAATACGTCCAGGCTCGGGGATGGAAGCGGTGAGGCCAGGGAGTAAGAAGGGCAGCACAAGGACAGGGAGAGCTGGGGGGCATCTCTGGCAGCAGACACTGAACGTGTAGCCCATTTCGAAGAAGGTTTTTGCGCAAGGGAGTACCTTAATCATCCATTAAAGCCAATTTTGAGGATTTTTAACCCCTCCTGTTACTGCGTATTCAAAAGCAATTTTTACCACAGTGAAAAATACAATGGGTGACAGACCAAGATTGCAATATGCATGGATGGCTCCAAATTCAGGACAAAGTTTTCAGTAACAGCTCACAGGTCTACAGGTCCCCATGGCAGATGCTGCTCTAGGCACTTTATGCATGTTAAATCATTTCATCCTTATAACTTTATGAGGCAAATATTATTGTCATACCCACTTACGGAGAGGGAACAGAGGCTCAGAGAGCCTAAAGCAGCTTTGCCCAAGGTTACATAGGTGCTCAGGGGCTGAGCCAGGAATGAACCCAGGCTGTCTGCCTTCAGAGCGTCACAATAAGAAATCAGTCTGAGGGTTGTATATTTTACAGTTTTCTGAAGGCAGTCTAGTCTATCAACAGAAAAGTTAGACTGGACACATATGTTTCACAGCTATTTCGAATCCCTCATTGAGAAGGGGACTAAGGAGAACGCCTTGTTACCTTGTCCTGGCTACAGTGAATATATTCCTTGCTTTGTAAGTGTGCGTGGAGGAGGCATGCAGTCTCCTTTTTATGACAATCATCTTTGTGACCTAAGGGCACCTATGACCAGAGAAATTTATTCTAAAGTACCAGGCTGGGTACAGTGGCTCACACCTCTAATCCTAGCACTTTGGGAGGTCGAGGTGGGCAGATTGCCTGAGCTCAGGAGATCGAGACCAGCCTGGGCAGCATGGTGAAATCCCATCTCCACTAAAATACAAAACATTAGCCGGACATGATGGTGCGCGCCTGTAGTCCCAACTACTCAGGAGGCTGAGGCAGGAGAATCACTTGAACCTGGGAGGTGGAGGTTGCAGTGAGCCAAGATCATGCCACTGTACTCCAGCCTGGTCAACAGAGCAAGACTCCATCTCAAAGAAATAAATAAATAAAATAAAAAATAAAGTACCAAAGGATGTGTTTCTTCACATAGTATTAATAACATTAAGTAATTTATGCCTATAAAGTAGAATTTGAAGCCCTTGCAAGAAAGTTCATGAAAAGAAATATCTTCAAGGGGCAGCTTTTTACTTTTCCTTGGTATGGATGCAAAGAAAAAAACAATTTTTTTTTTTTTTTTGAGATGGAGTTTCGCTCTTGTTGCCCAGGCTGCAGTGCAGTGATGCTCCACCATCTTGGCTCACTGCAACCTCCACCTCCCGGGTTCAAGTGATTCTCCTGCCTCAGCCTCCCAAGTAGCTGGGATTGCAGGCATGCGCCACCATGCCCAGCTAATTTTGTATTTTTAGTAGAGACAGGTTTCACCATGTTGGTCAAGCTGGTCTCGAACTCCTGACCTCAGGTGATCCGCCTGCCTCGGCCTCCCAAAGTTCTGGGATTATAGGAGTGAGCCACTGCGCCCAGCCAGCAAAGATGATTTTATAAAGAGACCCCAACATAGTTTCCACCCAGCACTGGCCATTATGAGCCTACAGTGGGCGCCCTTAGTTGGTCCCCATTGCCCTGAGAGTACTCACATATAATGGAAATTGTGTGGATTTTCACACCAAAGTGACCTGACCTCAAATCCCGTCTTTACCATTTACCTCCTGTAGGGCCAGCTTTTCATGGGCCCCATGCATGGGACCACACTGGTGTGCATCACCCAGGGCACCTTGGAGTTGAATGCTTGTGGCTGCCATCTTAAAATTTTTCCTGTAATCTTTGAATTTGTGATGCTGCAAATTGATGGTACATGTGCAGGTGCATATGGAGCTTTGACTCACTGTGTTCCCACCTCCTGCCTGTTTCTGCAGGGCAGGTGCTGCCTGCACTTCTGACTCCTGGCACCCTGGGCCCTAGGCAGCCTCCCACTTCCTGTCTGAGTCCAGGGACCATTGCTGCCCTTGCCCCAAGAAGGGGCCTAGGTGCAGGCACAGGAAGGATCTTGCCCATCCCTGATCCAGGTAGTAAGACATTCCAAAGAGGGTCTTGCAATCCCTGGGGGTTGCCCATTGCTGTGGGTTATTGGGGAAATGCCTGACGACTCGGACACCACGGTAGGGCCTCTGATTGGCAGGAGGGGAATGCACGCCCACACTGGTGGGCCGCACACATATGCCTCATCCCAAGGCAGACAGGGCCCTTGAGAAGCTACCCTCGCCCCCACTCCAGGTATCCCCATGCCCAGAGAAGTACAACGTGTATAGCAAATTCTGTAGACACCTCCATGACAGAGATTGTGAAAGAAAGGAAAATGTTTTCTATTTGAGGGCTTTATAGCATCACTCTTTTCCTGCTTTTTGAACAAGGGGCCCAGCATTTTCATTTTGCACTAGACCCAGAAAGTTATATATGGTCCTTGGCCTCCTGGGTGACCTTAATCAGGTGACCTTACTTTCTCTGAACATCAGTTTCTCCATCTAGAAAATGCTGACATCGGGGCTGGCCATGGTGGCTCACGCCTATAATCCCAGCACTTTGGGAGGCCAAGGTGGGCGGATCACAAGGTCAAGAGATTGAGACCATCCTGGCCAACAAAAATACAAAAAAAAAAAACTGAAAATACAAAAATAGCTGGATGTGGTGGCACGCACCTGTAATCCCAGCTACTCAGGAGGCTGAGGCAGGAGAATCACTTCAACCCGGGAGGCGGAGGTCGCACTGAGCTGAGAGCATGCCATTGCATGACAGCCTGGCAACAGAATGAGACTTCATCTCAAAAAAAAAAAAAAGAAAAGAAAATGCTGACATCTTCGCAGAGGTGCTGTCAGATTCACACAATATGTTCAAACAATGCAAGTCAGTAATACATAGCAGCTCATTTTCTTCCCTACCCACTGTTCCTCCTGTTTTTCTCTATACACCCTGTCTTCCTTACTACTTGCTGGTACTGAATCTTTGTTGAGTGTAGGAATCAATCTGTCAATTAATCATCTGGGAATGCGTGTGGCTACTGCCTCTGGGATGGATGGCTAAATGAATAGGCTGATGGAAATATACACATATATGAAATATGCAGAGATAGACATTGGTAATATATAGACAGATTGGAGATACATAAAGCCGTCCGGGCATACAGAGTTTACTAGAGAGAGGTGCAGAAAGATGTACATAAAATTCCATAATATTCTGTGTTTAAATAGTTGTGTTACTGGCCGGGCGCAGTGGCTCAAGCCTGTAATCCCAGCACTTTGGGAGGCCAAGACGGGCGGATCACGAGGTCAGGAGATCAAGACGATCCTGGCTAACACAGTGAAACCCCGTCTCTACTAAAAAAAAAAAATACAAAAAACTAGCCGGGCGTGGTGGCGGCGCCTGTAGTCCCAGCCTCTCGGGAGGCTGAGGCAGGAGAATGGCATGAACCTGGAAGGTGGAGCTTGCAGTGAGCCGAGATCACACCGCTGCACTCCAGCCTGGGCGACAGAGCGAGACTCCGTCTCCAAAAAAAAAAAAAGAAAAAGAAAAAAAAATAGTTGTATTACTTATGGCCATTTTTATTTTAACTTAAGAAACTTCATTTACACTAAGCCTGACACCGGGCTGTACTCATAAAATCTAAGGAATCATCATTAAACACAGACACGAGAGAAATGAAAGAACATTTCCATAGTTCTCGTTACCTGGTATTCTGGGCACTAGTACCCCCGTACTGGGTGCTGGAGATGGGCCAACATGACCCCGTAGACCTGGCTGACAAACCTGTGGAGTCTCGCCCTGCTGGAGCCCTGGAGCTAAGGACCGAGATCTCGGAGCTTTGGTTTGGGCCTTCCATGGGGGCACTATTACAGTGTGGGCATCTGGGAGCCCCTGTGGCAGAGGCTGTGTGGCAAAATTCCAGCCAAAGCGAGAAGGTCAGAGTCTTTCTTTGGTGCTGGCGCTTGTCTCCTGCAAAACAAGGCAGACAGCCCTGAGGATACCATACTAGGTTCCTGTTAGCTCATGGAAAATGGTACTTTCCGAATATATTTGTGTTGCACCTTAACCCATATCTAAAGTTAAACACAGGCTGGCCTGTTCGCTCACACCTGTAATCCCAGCACTTTGGGAGGCCAAGGTGGGAGGATCACTTGAGCCCAGGAGTTTGAGATCAGCCTGAGCAACATGGCAAAACCCCATCTCTACAAAAAAAGACAAAAATTTAGCCAGGCATGGTGGCACGCACTTGCAGGCCCAGCTGCTTGGAAGGCTGAGGCAGGAGAATCACTTGAGCCTGGGAGGTCGAGGCTGCAGTGAGCCATAATCGCACCACTGCATTCCAGCCTGGGTGACAGAGGAAGACTCTATCTCTAAATAAATAAATAAAATTAAACCCAATCATGGCAACAAGGATCCAATCAAAGTACTGTTTTAGAAAAAGGTGCTTTATGGATTCTAAGATGTCATGGGATAGTAATTGAAAACTAGAATTAAGGCATCAAGAGATAATAGCTTCTGGTTGCAGTTCACAAAAGGCAATTCTTTTTTTTTTTTTTTTTTTTTTTTTGAGATGGAGTCTCACTCTGTCACCAGGCTGGAGTGCAGTGGTGTGATCTTGGCTCACTGCAATCTCTGCCTCCCGGGTTCAAGCGATTCTTCTGCCTCAGCCTCCCGAGTACCTGGGACTACAGGCGCCCGCCACCACACCTGGCTAACTTTTTGTATTTTAGTAGAGATGGGTTTTCACCATGTTGGCCAGAATGGTGTCGATCTCCTGACCTCGTGATCTGCCTGCCCTGGCCTCCCAAAGTGCCAGGATTACAGGCATGAGCCACCGCGCCTGGCCAAGGCAAGAATTTTTAAAGCAGAAAAGTCCAAGCTTGCCACTGACCTTATGGCATGAATCCCAGAGAACACACACTTGCTGTACTTTATTCCGATACCAAGAAATGCCAAGGTGAGTGCCACTGGAGCTGCAGTGGGAACTCAGACCAGGGCCGCTTTGGAGGACTAAATCCTAGGCCCGTTGATGGCAGAGCAGCTGTCAGAATTCAAAATGTTGAATCATGGCGTCGTGCCTCTCCTCTCCATCAGCTGTCGATTGTAAAACCGACAGATTTCATCCTTGCTTGTTGAGGAGCTAATGGGGAAGCTATGGCAGGGGCACAGCTGCTCAGGTTATGCTTTGGGGAAGCCAGGTGAGTGGGGCTCCCAGGAGGCCTTGCTCTGTGGAAGTCGGCGCCTGGGAACTCTTGAAATCCAGTGCTGATTGACTTTATTCCCATACAGTGTGACAACGAAGACGACTACAGGGAGATCAAGAAGGCCCAGGGAGAGAAAGACAGCTCTTCAAGACTGGCCACCTCCACCGGTAATACTTTGTCTGCAAACCACTGCAACATGAACATCAACAGGTACGTGCATTCCCTCCAAAGTGGAAGTGAGCTGGAGAGATCTGTGGGTCTGAAAGTCACCTGCTGGGTTGGAGGAGGGTTGGATTTTTTGAGGACTACTCTGGTCTAGGTCTGCAGACTTGCTTCCCTCCTTTAACCCAAGTCTTATCATTATGACTACATGTGCCCCATACTATAGCTCCAGATACTCATGCAAGGTACTTCTCCATAACCAAAGACCAGATACTAGTTACACACAGCTCTGCACTCCCCAAGACATGCCCTTCTCCCAAAAAACTTAATAACTGAATTTCTAATCAATATTTTAATGGTAACCACTAAACTCATAAGAACACTAAGCTTATTACGCAGATGAAGAAATACACACTTGGAGCTGAATCTCCATGTGCAGCACCTAAAGCAATTAATTGGATATAGACTAAAATTGTGGCCTTAGAAGGGTCCGTGCTCCCAAGGTTAAATGGCCACCCAGACACTCCTCTCAAGAGGTTGCAGATGGACCCACCCAGCACTGACTCCCCTCTTTGATGAATGGCTTACAAGCAAGGCAAAATCCCAGGTATTTATTAGAAACGAGTAGCTTATCATCAGTCATAGAAGCGCTTTCCATTTTGAAATACCACAGCACAGAGGCCACTTTTCCTCTCTAAGACACTCCTCGCCCTCTCTGACCGCATACATAGAATTTTAAAGGGAGATGAATGTCTCAGCACAACACATAAAAATGTAAACTGAAAGGTTAGGAAAAGATGTAGAGCGGTGCTAAACCTTGGCGAGGAAATTGGAGAGCGAGGGTGCACACACACAGGCCCACTGCAGTGCCGGAATCACCTTGGAAGGCGAGGGCTCCTGTGGGTCTGAACGGGAGGGAGGGTTGCCCCTGCACGCTGCCCACTCCTCGGTCCTCCGTGCAGGGTGGATGCCAGCCCAAAATATTGAGAAAGGGGAAATGGGGAAAATGTGGTACCCAGATATTTTTAAATGTGCGATACCGTTTAGTGCGTGTTAATACACTAAATGATCTAGCTGATCTGGTGGCTTCCATAATTTCTAAGCAGTGAGGAATATAAACTGTGTGTCTGCACAACTGCAATATGATAGGAAAATAGCTGTGATTTGGCCGGGTGCAGTGGCTCATGCCTGTGATCCCAGCACTTTGGGAGGCTGAGGGAGACGGATCATGAGGTCAGGAGTTCAAGACCAGCCTGGCCAATATGGTGAAACCCCGTCTCTACTAAAAATATAAAAAAATTAGCCGGGTGTGGTGGCACACTCCTGTAGTCCCAGCTATTCGGGAGGCTGAGGCCAGAGAATCGCTCAAACCCGGGAAGCGGAGGTTGCAGTGAGCTGAGATTGCACCACGGCACTCCAGCCTGGGTGACAGACAGGCTCCATCTCAAAAAAGAAAAGAAAAAAAGAAAATAGCTGTGATTTATACCGGTGACACAGTCACAGGTGTTGATACTACTGCTCCTGCTAAACCATGACTCTGGTTTCATACCTTTACTCATAGTTGAAGGAAATGTTCTATTACAGTGAGAGGTCAGTGAAAATGAAGAGGTCACTTCTCCATTCAAGTTCTTGAACCCCAGGTTAAAAAAACTCTTGCTCTAGAGACTTAGTCTGGCAGAGCCTCCTAGTTTTGATGGTTTTATTTATGTTAAGTAGTGACACAATGCAGATAAAATGCTTAGAGTTCTTTCTGGGAAAGGTGGTCTGTGTACCTCTGGAACTGTGATTGCTACTATCAGGTTTTACCAGTGCTGCACAGCAGTCCCAGAGACGGGGATTGCCAATTTCTTTTTTTTTTTTTTTTTTTTTTTTTTGAGACAGAGTCTCACGCTGTTGCCCAGGCTGGAGTGCAGTGGCGCGATCTCGGCTCACTGCAAGCTCCGCCTCCCAGGTTCCCGCCATTCTCCTGCCTCAGCCTCCTGAGTAGCTGGGACTACAGGCGCCCGCCACCGCGCCCGGCTAATTTTTTGTATTTTTAGTAGAGACGGGGTTTCACTGTGGTCTCGATCTCCTGACCTTGTGATCCGCCCGCCTCGGCCTCCCAAAGTGCTGGGATTACAGGCTTGAGCCACCGCGCCCGGCCAAGGGATTGCCAATTTCAAAGAGGAGCTCCCAAGAAAGTTTCTTTGGTCAACTTGAATATATATATTTATAAACTTGCAATGATGAAAAACCGACAATCATGATGTCCATGATAATATTTAATGTCACAGTTTTGTTTTTCATGCACTGTGAAAATCATGAAGTACGTCAAATAATAGAGACTGAGGAAAAGGTCTTTCTTCACTCACATTTCGACAAACAATTATAGTCAGGCAGTTCACATTATCTTCAACATCAGCATCTTTGCCATCGCTAGATGAGTAACTTTTGATTCTCCCAAAGCACTTTTGCATAACACAGCCTCTATGTTGTTAGACACACAGTGCTTTTGGAACCAGAAATCTATCACCAGAAATTCTATCCCCACATGTATCCAATTGCATAACATTCAGAACCTTGGTCTTGTCATTTGTTCTAGAGGCCTGTGTTTGTAATCTCTCCACTGTGACCACCAGCTAAGGAAATTGCTTTTCGAAGTGACTTTAATGGCTTGTTTGCGGTGATAACGAACACGTGCAATTAAAAGAGCCCAACCCCAAGAATAATGAGTCAATCTTTGTTAGATGACTTTACCATGTTTTAACTGGCTCTACCAGGTGACCTCTATAAGTATTCTAAATGAGCGATGACTGAGTTAATTTCAGACTGTCTTCCCCAAAGAATACTTTAAGGAATAGAGCCCTAACAATGTAATATACATTGCAAACTCAAATGTAAGTGAATCCCTCTTCACTGATGGTTGATTTTGGAGAACATTATATTCAAGCACAGACAGTAGTTTTGAAGGTGAAATAAGGAGTTAGGAATCAGAAACTGTAACTTCTACTCACCGTATTTATTTATTTAGGAGACAGAGTCTTATTCTGTCTCCCAGGCTGGAGTGCAGTGGTGCAATCTCGCCTCACTGCAACATCCACCTCCCTCAAGTGATTCCCCTGCCTCAGCCTCCTGAGTAGCTGTGATTATAGGCATGCACCACCACACCTGGCTAATTTTTTTTTTTTTTTTTTTTTTTTTTGAGGTGGAGTCTTGCTCTGTCCCCCAGGCTGGAGTGCAGTGGCGCGATCTTGGCTCACTGCAAACTCCTCCTCCTGGGTTGACACCATTCTCCTGCCTCAGCCTCCCAAGTAGCTGGGACTACAGGTGCCCGCCACCATGCCTGGCTAATTTTTTGTATTTTTTTTAGCAGAGACGGGTTTTCACCATGTTAGCCAGGATGGTCTCGATCTCCTGACCTTGTGATCCGCCCGCCTCGGCCTCCCATAGTGTTGGGATTACAGGCGTGAGCCCCTGCGCCCAGCCAATTTTTGTATTTTTAGTAGAAATGGGGTTTCACCATGTTGGCCAGGCTGATCTCAAACTCCAGACCTCAAGTGATCTGCCCACCTTGACCTCCCAAAGTGCTGGGATTACAGGCATGAGCCACCACACCCAGCCTCCTACTCACTGTTTTTATATTCTAGGTTTAATCTGATCAATCCCTGTTTAAGTCATAAACTCAGATATTAAGAATTGGCTTTACACATTGCAGGTTGTTCTCTGGTTTTATTATTTTCTATATAATATTTAGTATAAGCTCAGATGAGATAGCAAAAGTCTTTTTAGAAATGTAGAATTCAGACTGGGTGCGGTGGCTCACGCCTATAATCCCAGCACTTTGGGAGGCCGAGGCGGGTGGATCACCTGAGGTTAGAAGTTCAAGACCAGCCTGGCTGACATGGTGAAATCCCGTCTCTACTAAAAATAAAAACATTAGCCAGACATGGTGGCAGGCGCCTGTAATCCCAGCTACTCGGGAGGCTGAGGCAGGAAAATCACTTGAACCCAGGAGGCGGAGGTTGCAGTGAGCCGAGATCACGCCATTGTACTCCAGCCTGGGTGACAAGAGTGAAACTCCGTCTCAAAAAAATAAAAAATAAAAAGAAATGTAGAATTTGGCTGGGCACAATGGCTCATGTCTGTAATCCCAGCACTTTGGGAGGCCGAGGCACCTTGAATCCAGGAGTTTGAGACCAGCTTGGGCAACATGGTGAAACCCCATCTCTACAAAAAATATGAAAAATTAGCCAGATGTGGTGATGCATACCTGTAGTCCCTGCTACTCAGGGGACTGAGGTGGGAGGATTGCTTGAGCCCAGGAGGTTAGGGCTACAGTGAGCCAAGATCCTGCCACTGCTCTCCAGCCTGGGTAACAGAGCCAGACCCTGTCTCAAGAAGAGAAAGAAATGTAGAATTCATTTATTGTTGTTGACTGACTTTCCCACTGCTTGCTCCTTATGCTTGTTAGGAAAACAGTAAGTTGTTTTCTGGGTATTTTGAGATCCTTGGATAAAGGACTTGGAAAATGAAAGTGTTACTAGTCTTAGTTGCGTCCTTTGGTGCCGGCTCCAGAATTACTATCATCCTGATGGGGAGAGAAAAGAAACAGTGAGTGAGACTTGCTTCTTGTTTGTTATGATCCTAATGCCATTAACTTGTTTCCTGGTATAATAATTCCCAAGAAGCTTCTCCCAGCAACAGGTCCCAGTTGGGTGGTTTGGGTCATAGGAAAACATTTACCTTTCCCTGTGCAGACTCTGTGACATTCCATTACTGTCATTTCCTTTTTCAGTGTGGCAATACCAATAAATAAAAATGAAAAAATGCTTCGGTCGCCCATCTCACCCCTCTCCGATGCATCTAAACACAAATACACCAGCGAGGACTTAACTTCTTCCAGCCGACCTAATGGCAACAGTTTGTTCACTTCAGCCTCTTCCAGCAAAAAGCCTAAGGCCGACAGCCAGCTGCAGCCTCACGGCGGAGACCTCACGGTTCGTTGATGCTCTCTCTTCCTTTCCAACTAAAACCAAAATGAGGGGTGGGGCACAGTGGCTCACACCTGTAATCCCAGCACTTTGGGAGGCCAAGACGGGTGGATCACGAGGTCAGCAGATCGAGACCATCCTGGCTGGCACAGTGAAACCTCGTCTCTACTAAAAATACAAAAAATTAGCCGGGCATGGTGGTGGGTGCCTGTAGTCTCAGCTACTTGGGAGGCTGAGGCAGGAGAATGGCATGAACCTGGGAACTGGAGCTTGCAGTGAGCCAAGATCACGCCACTGCACTCCAGCCTGGGCAACAGAGCGAGACCCCGTCTCAAAAAAAAAAAAAAAAATAGAAACTGAGCACCCCCAAGCTCTGTCTCTAACCCAGCACAGTCTAAACACATGCTTGAGGTCCCCTTGAGAATTCCTGAATGCCACCCGCTTCTAGGAAGACCCAGCAAAAGACATCCCCCCTCACCCTCCCAACAGAGAGCGGGGAAGAGGAACCGAGGGAGAATTCTAAGCCTCTGTTGCTTAGGCAGGATTTTATTTTTCTGTCTGAAAAGACAAGACCTCAAAGTAATACCATCCCGGGACAAAGTAAATTAGGAGTTTGAACCAACCAACCTTTCTATTGGGAAAAATGTCTGAGCCCAGGGCAGAGTTAAATCTGGGATTGAAAACCCCACACTGAAAGCTACAGGGCCCGCACTTGGCCCTCACTGGCCAGTGTTGCAGCCACAGTGGGGGAACTCCCCCGCTACCCCTTTTCCAGTGATCTCAAGGGTGATTCCAGCACGCCCCAGGGGAAGAGCAGGGGACTTGGGTTCACAGTCTGACCTCACCTCTTAGCTACAGTGTGATCTTGGGCCAGTTACTTAATCTCTCTGCTCCTGTTTCTTTACCTGCAATATTTTAAAAGAGACAATATTATGAAAAGATCCCCACTGGGCATGATGGCTCACGCCTGTCATCCCAGCACTTTGAGAGGCTGAGGCGGGCGAATCACTTGAGGTCAGAAGTTCAAGACCGGCCTGGCCAACATGGTGAAACCCTGTCTCTACTAAAAATACAAAAATTAGCCAGGCATGGTGGCAGGCATCTGTAGTCCCAGCTACTCAGGAGGCTGAGGCAGGAGAATTGCTTGAATCTGGAAGGCAGAGGATGCAGTGAGCTGAGATCCCACCACTGCACTCCAGCCTAGGTGACAGAGCGAGACTCTGTCTCAATGGAAAAAAACAAAAAAACTCCAACACCTAGGGACACCTATGCAACTAACACTGTATGTTAGTTCCTCTTCGCCTCCATGCCAGCCTCTGACAGCCAGTGGCCCTGGACCCCTCATCCTCTCGGGAACATTAGTTACTTCCAAACCCTCTCCCATGGTAGTCACTGTGCCTATCAAAACCAGCTGGGTGGCCAGGCGTGGTGGCACACACCTGTAATCCCAGCTACTCAGGAGGCTGAGGCAGGAGAATCACTTGAACCTGGGAGGTGGAGGTTGCAATGAGCCAAGATCGCGCCACTGCACTCCAGCCTGGGTGACGGAGCGAGACTCCATCTCAAAAAAAAAAAGAACAGGACTCTGCAAAGAAGGATGAGGGAGGAAGCAGTGTGTAACACTTTATCCCATGAGTTAAAGATTGTTAAAAGTTGCTGGAAGTTCCCGCAAGAGTCTCAATCTTACAGCATCCTCAGGAAATTAACCTTCTTTTGTGCACCCTCACTTGGGAGCAGTGGTCTTTAATTCTAGACTGAAAGAATTGGGGAAGACCTATATTAGAAAAACATGGGGCCGGGCGCGGTGGCTCAAGCCTGTAATCCCAGCACTTTGGGAAGCCGAGACGGGCAGATCACGAGGTCAGGAGATCAAGACCATCCTGGCTAACACACGGTGAAACCCTGTCTCTACTAAAAAAATACAAAAAAACTAGCCGGGCGAGGTGGCAGGCGCCTGTAGTCCCGACTACTCAGGAGGCTGAGGCAGGAGAATGGCATGAACCCGGGAGGCAGAGCTTGCAGTGAGCTGAGATCCAGCCACTGCACTCTAGCCTGGGCGACAGAGCAAGACTCTGTCTCAAAAAAAAAAAAAAGAAAAACGTGGAACAAAAAGACACCAACTCAAGTTTTTTTTATTTGCCTGTAGATCCTTAAGTCATGAGCAACTATGATATACAGAGAACTGTAAACCAATTATAGATCTTATTTAGTTATTCTTCACCAAACAGGTGCTTATTTGGTAAGTACTTACTACGTGCTGGGCACCAGAGATGCAGTCACAATCCAGCAGATTCCATTTGTGCCTGAATGAAGCTTACAGTTAGCTGGGAGAGAGCCTCATACAGGGGATCGCACACATCCATGACTCAGCACCAGCGGTTTCAGTGCCAAAAAGGGAACTCACAAAGAACTAGGAGCTCTTAGAACAAAGAGGCTTGAATTAGTCCTAAGAGTGGCAAACTTTTTCTGCGAAGCAGGTTTTGACGTTTTGGACTGACCAATTACTTGTGGTGAGGCTGTCCTCTGCAACGTAGGATATTTGGCAGTGTCCCTGGCTTCCACCCAGTAGATCCTATGAGCACCCACTGGCAGTGGTGACAACTAAAAATGTCTCCAGGCATTATCAGTTTGCCCCCTGTTGAGAACTGCTGCTGTAAAAAATCAGATAAATAACCTAAGGGTTTATGGGCTGCATGGTCTCCATCCTGACTACCCAACTCTGCCATTGTAACAGGAAAACGGACGATAGATAAATGCATAGGCAGGATTCATTTCCAATAAAACTTTATTTACAAGAAGAGCCAGGTTTGACTCCCTGTCCATAGATGTCTGACCCCTGATGCGAGATCTTTAAAAGGCAAGTAGGCATATAGTAAGGGGCACAGAGCATTATAGGCAGAGGAAGCAGCCAGTGCAACGGTCCCGAGAAAGAACCGGACACCAGCCCATGAGTCTGGGGCACAGAGGCCACAGGCGAAGAATGGCTGAGGGGCCACTTGACTGGGATTGCTCCTTTTACCAATAGCAAGCAGAGGCCACTGGAGGAGTTTAAGAACAATTTTTAAATGTTAACATCTGAGTTTCCTGGTCTTTTATAACAGTAGACTCTAACCTGTACAGTGTTACACGTAAAAGCAGTCCATATTTAAAGCAGCATTTGTATACACTCAATTTTAATTACTTCAGAGAAACCATTTGCATTTCCTAACCTCAGATGTGGTTTTATGATCCATGTGTTTAGCACACAGTAGGTGCCATGTAAATGTTTCTATCCTGAGTAATGTGATTTTTAAAACTTTTCCACAGACTAATGTGTTCCATATATATTTGTGTGTGTATGTATATGTGTGTGTGTATATATGTGTATATGTGTGTGTATATATATGTGTGTGTGTGTATGTGTGTGTGTGTGTATATGTGTGTGTATGTGTGTGTGTATATATATGTGTGTATATGTGTGTATATATGTGTTTATATATGTGTGTGTGTATATATATGTGTGTGTGTGTATATGTGTGTGTGTGTATATATATGTGTGTGTATATATGTGTGTGTGTATATATATGTGTGTGTGTGTATATGTGTGTGTGTGTGTATATATATATGATGGACTTTTGTTCTTGTCGCCCAGGCTGGAGTGCAATGGTGCAGTCTCAGCTCACTGCAACCTCCACCTCCTGGGTTCAAGTGATTCTCCTGCCTCAGCCTCCCGAGTAGCTGGGATTATAGGCGCCCACCACCACGCCCGGCTAAATTTTGTATTTTTAGTAGAGACGGGGATTTGCCATGTTGGCCAGGCTGGTCTTGAACTCCTGACCTCAGGTGATCCACCTGCCTTGGCCTCCCAAAGTGCTGGGATTACAGGTGAGAGCCACTGCACCTGGCCTAGAATTTATTTTTTAATAATTCCTAGTGATTCCCGTTGACTCCTTCTGGTCTTCACAGACAGTGACTTCACAGACTGTGAGCTGAGTGACTTATCTTTTGCAAGAGGCAGTGAAGGTGAATGGTTCTGAAAGCGTGGTTCCAGGATCGCGGGTGATTGCAGCATCCGCATCACTGGGAACCAGATGGAAGGGCAGATTCTAGGTCCCCACCCCAGCCCTGCTGAATCCCAGACTCTCAGTGCGGAGCCTGGCAATCTGTGTTTTCACCAGACCCCTGGAGGATGCTGATTGATGAAAACTGAACTGGCCAGCCTCCGGTCTAGCGGACTGGGAACAGTAGGCGTCTAAACCCTAACCCCTGGCCTCCACCACAGTCACTGAGTGTGGAGAAGTTGCTGAAACTCACCAAGCCTGTTTCTGGATCTGTGAGAGTGGGCGTCATGACTTCCCTTTGGATAGTGTCATGAGAATGACGGTTGAGAACGCAGGTAGAAGCCCTCGGCAAATACCTAGAAGGCAGGTATTTCTTTATTGAGACACAATCACCATCCATTCTAATACAGCACACAAAGATGTTCTGTAGAGCCAAAGATATTCTATGTATGTATGTATGTATGTATGTGATGGGCTGCTCGCTTCACCAGGTGGCCAATTTCTCAAAGACATGTGTTGTTTCTTGTTTAGAAAGCAGCTCACAACAATTCTGAAAACATTCCCCTCCACAAGTCACGACCGCAGACGGAGCCGTGGTCTCCAGGCTCCAACGGCCACAGGGACTGCAAGAGGCAGAAACTCATCTTCGATGATATGTAAGTTCAGACTTTTTTTAATATGGTGAGGGGTAAGACAGAATAGAAGCTGCTCAGGTGGAAGGGGCGTGGACACCTTGGTGTGGCCACCTTCAGCAACAGTGTGGCCTTTTTTTCCCCTGGTCATTTAAATGTCCCTCTTGAAGGGAATTGGAGCCTTAATTTTGAGTGCATGCCTGAGTCGTGGTGGGGTTTTTGGGTAGACAGAATAATCAGTGCTAACGGGGTTGGACATAGAAAACAAAGGCGAATAGCATTAATGAGTCTTACGCTTCTAAGCGCTTGTACTGTGGGTTGTTGGCGGTTTTATGCTACTAGAAAGAGAAGCGTTGTTGTTGTAAATTATAATAGGCAATGAATAATAGTGATTTACTCCTGAAAGCTTTTTTCCTCCAACTGCTATATTCTTTATAATAGTATAAATGATTCTTCTATAGGAAAAAAAATGCCATGATCCTTCACCCAATTCTAGCACTTTCAGTCTCACCCAAGTATAACTTCCATTCCCGGCATCATTTTAAAAGGAGGAAAAACAAGAGGAGAAGATGAATAAAAATAACATCCTGGAATGCTCTCGAGAGGCTGAAAATGACAAATGAGAAATGATCAAATGATGCTGAAAATTATTTCGGCTCTTAGGGAAAATGTATGTGTCAAGGACAAGCCTGGAAGGCAGAAGATACTCAGTGTGAATCCTCTTTTCAGGTTTAGTGGTCCTACGGACGTCAAATACATGGCTGGGTGAGGCAGGAAAAATTCGGCCCCAGGGTGGAGCAGCTGCAGAAGTAGGCTCTCCTGCCCTCTAAGGGCTTCTAGTCTAGCTGAGGAGACAGACTGCAAACCACTAACCCCACTGGATGTTGGAAAATAAAATGGTTCTACATGTCCGAGAGTCCCAATGACAAATGCCACGGCTCCCTCCACGGGGCCCTCCTAGGATCCATTAAATGACATCTCCTAAGGGGTATCACGTGGAGCAGAGAAAGCACCATGCAGGGGTGGCTACTCCAGCCTCGTCGTCCACCCCGCTCCTCCATCCATAACTGCCACCCGAAGTCTTGGCATGATCTATTCACCTCTGTACGCTTCCTTGGGAAATTTAAAATACTAAGTTGTAGTCTTCAAGTACTGCATGGACTCCCGTAAGCTAATGAGGGTACAGCGTTTTGGGGTTGAAAGCCAAGTCCACATTCGTTGTTTATTTTGTTAAATGAACACATTCCAAGGCAACTGGGTTTGGGAAAGCTTGAGGGCAGCCCAGGAAGGCATGTGTGTTTCCTCTCTTCCTGTGGTGGCAGCTGCGTCCCACCCACACTCCTGGCCCTCACCGCCCCCTTCCTCTCACTGTCTACATCGCCTTTGCCAAGCAGCCAGGGAGGTAGGTGGTGATTAATCCCCAGGGAGGGCATGGAGTGGGAGTACAGTCAGGTGGCAAACTACATTTATAATTAAGGTTCAGGACATAAATTGTTCATGTGAACTTCAGCCATTTGTAAAAAGAAGAGATTAGAATTGTGTATAAGGATAATGTAGAAATCTGCATTTGGAAGTCATAACCCAACAACATGATCAAACAGAAGGAGCATTAGACCCTGAGGTACTCACACCACCGCATACTTACAGTGGATGGTTTTGAGAGCATGGTATATACACACAAAATACAAATACATATGTCATATTAAAATGCAAGGAATTTTCCAGTGTATGAACCAGAAAGCTAGGTCAGAAACAGCAACAACTAAATGATTGCACTTTGATCTACAGGTACTTGGACTTTTTTTTTTTTTTTTTTTTTTTTGAGACAGGCTTGCCCTGTCACCCAGGCTAGAGTGCAGTGGTATGAGCATGGCTCAGTGCAGCCTCAAAGTCCTGGGCTCACGCTATCTTCCTGCCTCAGCCTCCTGAGTAGCCGGGTCCACAGATGCATGCTACCACCCCCAGTTAGTTTTTTTTTTTTTTTTTTGTAGAAAAAGTGTCTCATGGCTGGGCACGGTGGCTCATACCTGTAATCTCAGCACTTTGGGAGACTGGGGCGGGTGAATCACAAGGTCAGGAGTTCAAAACCAACCTGACCACGATGGTGAAACCCCGTCTCTACTAAAAATACAAAAATTAGCTGGGCGTGGTGGTGGGTGCCTGTAAGCCCAGCTACTCCGGAGGCTGAGGCAGATAATTGCTTGAACCTGGGCGGCAGAGGTTGCAGTAAACTGAGATCTTGCTACCACACTCCAGCCTGGGCAACAGCGAGACTCTGTCTCAAAAAGAAAAAAAGGCCGGGCACGGTGGCTCAAGCCTGTAATCCCAGCACTTTGGGAGGCCGAGATGGGCAGATCATGAGGTCAGGAGATCGAGACCATCTTGGCTAACACGTTGAAACCCCGTCTCTACTAAAAAAAAAAATACAAAAAACTAGCCGGGCGACGTGGCGGGCGCCTATAGTCCCAGCTACTCGGGAGGCTGAAGCAGGAGAATGGCATGAAATTGGGAGGCGAAGCTTGCAGTGAGCAGAGATCGCGCCACTGCCCTCCAGCCTGGGAGACAGAGCGAGACTCTGTCTCAAAAAAAAAAAAAAGAAAAGAAAAGAAAAAAAAATTAGCCAGGTGTGGTGGCGGGCGCCTGTAGTCTCAGCTACTCGGGAGGCTGAGGCAGGAGAATGGCGTGAACCGGGAGGCAGAGCTTGCAGTGAGCTGAGATCCGGCCACTGCACTCCAGCCTGGGTGACAGAGCGAGACTCCGTCTCAAAAAAAAAAAAAAAAAAAGTGTCTCACTGTGTTGCCCAGGCTGGTCTCAAACTCCTGGCCTCAAGCAGCCCTCCCACCCCAGCCTCCCAAAGTGCTGGGATTATAGGCAGGAGCCACCATGGCTGGCAGCCCTTGGACTTTTTCTAAGAGGAAATGTCTCTCAATCTGCTATGGCTGAAACTAATATAATTTTGTCACTACCAGTGTCAACAAAGAGGCTGTTATCATTTGTTCTTCCCATTAGCAATACGTATAATTTTCCTGGCTGACAGCCACAATGAAACTGTTTCTCCTTTTATGGATATAGATATAATAGAATAAAAAAGCACTGTTTCATATCCATCATATGGAGAGATAGATGTCGCATTCCAATTGCCATGTGTCCCGACTGATTTGAAATCCATAACAGTAAAATAAATATGCAACTCAAACAGCCACTCAACCGTCGAACTAAGAAAGTTGTGGAAAGATTCTTCAAGCTTGAAAAGCAAAAATAGGCCGGGCACAGTGGCTCATGCCTGTAATCCTAGCACTTTGCGGGACCGAGCGGGGTGGATCACTTGAGGTCAGGAGTTTGAGACCAGCCTGGCCAACATAGGCTGGTCCCATCTTTACTAAAAACACAAAAAAGAAAAATTAGCCAGGCGTGATAGCATGTGCCTGTAATCCCAGCTACTCGGGAAGCTGAGGCAGGAGAATCACTTGAACCCAGGAAGTGGAAGTTGCAGTGAGCTGAGATCGCGCCATTGCGCTCCAGTGTGGGCCACAAGAGTGTAACTTCATATCAAAAAGAAAAAAAGCAAAAATAGGCATCGTCTCTTCCTTGAAGCAGTAAAAATAAGCAACCTTCAAGAGATCACTGGGCTAAGATGTTACCTAAAATTGGTAACAAATTTACCAATTACAGGAACGTCTCCCAGGTTCCATTTGGTACATATGGAGTACTTACTAAGTGCCAAGTACAGGCACAAGAGTTGAAGTATAATGATTAATTAATTCTCAGTTCTTCAGGGGGAGAGAGAGGCACATGGTGACCTCTCCAGGAAGGTTTCCTAGGATTACTTAAATTTAATTCTCTACCTCCTCCCTGCCCACCTCCATTCTGTGCCAGCTTCCCCACCAGCACCCTCAGTGACAGAGGAGGACCTCAGCCCCATCACTTTCCTTGACTTCTCTTCACCCAGGGTGAAGAGTGAACTTTAGCCCTTTTTGAAAACAAGCAGTGAAATGACCAAAGAGAGGCCACCAATGGAAGAAAAGAAAGGACTAGATAATTAGCACTGGAGTGATTTCAAGTTGATGAAAATCCAGTTACAGTGATCCAAAAAGTAACAGATGCCACACTGTCATTTAATTTTTAAAGCCGCATCGTGCAGCTTTTTAAAAAAAGTAAACTCATCCCTTTGTATTATAAATACGTGTTAATGGTTGAATAAACATGGGATTCAGACAACAGCTGAAGCCAGTAGGCTCTCAATAGCAAGTGTTGAATGAACCCAGCTGAATTATAAATGACATTCCCAGGAAAGAGTGCCTGCAATTTTTTCTATGACCGTAAGGAATCTACATGCAGGTAAATGTAAATTCATGGGCTTCCAAGCCCCTTTTCCTATGTTACTTACCAAAAATTAGCCAGATATGGTAGCGTGCGCCTGTAATTCCTGGAATGCCTGTAAACAGGCACCAGTTAGTTCCTTTGGGATACAGACAGAACTGAGCAGAATAACATTTATTTTAAAAATGTGATCCAGGTCAGCCTGTCCTTTGTACGTTGTGGGCTCATATTGGTGGCAGTGCGACCTCACCTCCTCCCCTGACATTTAGCAAGTAACACAACATTCACTGCTTGACAGCTGCAGTATTAAGGTGACACTCGTATGATTACCAAACATTGGTTTAAAAAACAGATCTGTAAGAATGTATGTCAATGAATAGATAGCACTTGATTCAACTTGAGGCCTAGGAAATGATCTTACTAGTGCAAAGCCATGAGCTGTAAGTCACTTGGTATCATAATTAGTGACAGGGGAATTCTCGGCTGGGGAAAATGGAGAGCGAACACCTGTGTCACGAAGGCCTCGGTACAGAAGTCCTGAACAGAGCTACGTGGTGATGAGATGCTTGGCTGGAAAACCACCTCCTCCATCCTGCCGCCGTTCTGCTGTGCTAGGAAGCCAGAGAACCCCAGGTGCCAGGGCCGCCTGCCGCTCCCCGGAGGAAGTGCTGGCTGCTGCCTGTATGTCACATGGAAAAGTCAGTCACAATCAGCACATTCAGCCAAACCACCGAACGTCCCTTCTGTCCCCATGGTGCCCATAACAGGAGCCCGGCTACCTGAACCTCCTGACAGTGAGGAAAGACTGACTATAGACGCCAGGCACTGAAGGTCATGGCGTGTGAAATGTGGCCACGAGAAAGGAAGAGGGACTTGACATTTGTAATGTACTTAGCACAGCAGTCTCAAAGCTAAAAGGATTTTAATTTTATAGAGGAGGGGAAGACTCCCATATTGTAAAAGGTTGGATCCCTAGCAGCATGATTTAGTCAAAGGACACCAGTTGAGATCCTTGAGTAGGCGAAATTACAGCAGGGAAGGTGCTCCCACCGCCCCCCAACCCAGGGCTTGCAGTGGGCATGTTCTCCTGAGGGTCTCCTCTCCTAGTCCTTTCAAAGCAGGACCCTACCTTTTTGTTTTCCTGATTAATCATTAAGCCTTTATTGGTCTTCATTTAGAATTTCTCCCATTATGAAATCCCTGTCTCAAGGCCAGGTGCTTCTTTTGTTCGAACCAAAACAGAGCGTGAGAGTAAGCATGAGTGAGACAGAGAGAAAGAAATGGAGAGTAGGATTTGCCAAGGCGGGGTGCGGGAGGACAAGGACATTCAGATCTCCTGGATTGAAATCTCAGCTGTCCGATCATTTTTAGGGTTTTGTAAGATTATTTTAAATGTCACTCAGAGAAAAACAATCATCAGATTGATAATTTCCCATTTCAACAGAAAGTTACTTTGGATTCAATGACCCAAACCTGCCCCACTTAACCTGAGCATCCCGCAGAGCAGACCCTGCCTCCTGTGCCCAGCTGAGAGGGAAGCAGTCGCCTGCAGGAGCCTGTGGCCTGGAAGACACAGTGAATGACCGCTTGTGCCTGGGAGAAGCCAGGTTCCAGGGACTCTGGGGCCCCAGCCAACATCAAAGTTGTGGAAATAAAAGCTGTTTTGAATCCTTGCTACCCAGATGCAATCTACCTGCGTCTGTGGGGAAAGGGCCTGGAAAGCCGGTGCCAGCATCCTGGAGCGGCGGACTCTGAAGTCCCCTCATCCGTAGTCATCACTGACTCTGTGTATTAAAAATAATTACTTAACTTCTTATGCATTCTCCTCAAAGCTTGGGACATATTAACACCTCTGGGGCTTGTCAGATGACAAGCTGACATATCGGATAGCAGATGATGAATTCATTTGGTATGCAGTTGCCTATTCGTCTGATTTGGATTTCAACTTCCCGAAGAAAATCATCCAATTTCTGCCGCGCCGAGGAACTTGTTGTTCAAACACATTGAGCTCTCATCCCTGCCAGTTTTCACAAAACAGGCTGGTTCTACCGAGGGCGGCATTTCACAGAGGTAGGAATTACAGAAAGGAGCCTGCCCGGCTCTCCGTGGGAGACCATTCAACTCTATCCCAGTCACAAAGGAGAACAAAAAGCAAGGTTGCTTTAATATTCCTGTGCCAGAAGAAATATGGGGGTAGCTCAAACCCTGATGTTGCTGAGAACCAAGGCCGTGTGTTTCTAGGTGGGGGTGGCAGGAGGGGGAAGAGAAGAAAAGAAAACATTTCTATTTGGATCAAGTGCTCAGAATGCTTTTGTTGGAGAGAGCTCTCATAATGAAGATGCATGCGGCTAAGCTCTGGCTTTCAGATCACTCACGCCCCGTTTCTGAAGAGCCCGAGATTCACAGTTAGTTACATTTATGGTGTTTAATTAAACTTTGATTAGGTTTGCTCGTCTATCATCATAAAATACCATCACCGTGGAAAACAATGGGAGGAATTTTATTACACAAATGGAAGACAAAAACTCTAGGTTTTCCAAGTTAAAAAAAAAATAGAAGATTAGATGGAAAATCTGTTTGAACACTGAGATAAGATCTCATTTTAGTACCTTTGCTGTATTCTATTCTATAACGGTCACAATGGTGACAGCAGTTTTACTTTTCCTACTGACTTGTGTATTGCTGTCAGAAGGGATGCCTTTGTGAAAGCGTGCGTTGGTGGCAAGGCTGGACACTGGGTGACATCCCACTGGTCCCACTGGCTTTATAATGATCTGCTCTGGAAGTACGGCACTAGAAATCACCCAAAAGGAGAAAATGGGCCAATCATCAGGCAATCTTCAGTGACTCATTACAGTGAGCCCTCCATTCTATGCAAAGATGAGAGTTCTAACAAATGTGTTCGTAAGTGGCCTCCAGATGGTACCTATGCTATTAGCATCTCAGGTTACTGCTCTGATTATAGCTGCTCTGATACAGTCAGAAAATTAGGTGTGTTACTTACCCACATGCGCTATTGTGAGAGTCTGTGACTCAGCCTCCATATCAGGATTTTAAAATATGCTACTATGCTGCAGATGAAAACAATAGTGATTAAGGAGCTTATATTAGGAATTATGAGCCCCTGCCATCCATAAGGGTAACTTAGAAGGCTGGTGGAAACTAAGAAGCCATAGCTTATTACCAAGATAATCCTTTAATGAAAACGAAATGCATTTGAAGTAGCAATGTGTTAGTGACAAAACAGGGCAAGAAAAAAAAAATGACCTAACTTATATACTAGAGTATAGAACAGATAATGATGTGGAGAATTTCAGGTTGCCATGGAGACACTCTCTGGCTCACTGGACGCGATGCTGCACCCCGTCGGAAGGCACCACTCTTCTAAGCTCAAAATGAATTCAGTGCCATTCATCCAAGGGAGACCTGCTTACCTTCTACCGTGTGCCAAAAACTACAGGGTGGGGAAGATCAAAGAGGTCTACAGCATGGTCCTTACTACAAATGAACCAGCAACCAGGTTGCACACATGCCCAGTAGAGCTCAGAAGATAATGAAATACCAAGTGTAGGAAACAAGAAGTGCTGTGTGAGGTCAGGAAGGACAAAGGTGAACATGGACCAAGGTTACTCGGAATGCCTTACAGTGGGGGAAGTTGAGGGGCAGGCAGCATTTGGCTCCTGGAAGACACTCAGTGAATAAAGAGCGAGCAGAGTGTTCCAGGTGGCGGAAGTGATGAGCAGAGCTCCTCGGACCAGGAGGCCATGTTATCAAGACAATGAGGAGCCACCTCTGACTTTGGTCAAGGGCCTTCTTGAATGAGTGACATAGTTAAGTGGGTTAGGCACGATTTTTGGGGATCTGAACTGAGATTTGATCTCATAGACCCTGGAGACTGATTTTAGGTCTGTGAGCAGGATGGCAAGGTGATGAAAGCCATGTAATCCCAGCACTTTGGGAGGCTGAGGCAGGTGGATCACTTGAGCTCGGGAGTTCAAGACCAGCCTTTACAACATGGCGAAACCCCGTCCCTACTAAAAATACAAAAAGTTAGCCAGGCATCACGGCACACGCCTGTAGTCGCAGCTACCTGGGAGGCTGTGGTGGGAGGGTCGCTTAACCCCAGGGGGCCGATGCTACAGTATCGGTGATCGTACCACTGCCCTCCAGCCTAGGCAACAGAGTGAGAACCTTTCTCAAACAACAACAATAACAACAACAATAACGTCAATTGCCAGAGTTAGAACCAAAGACCAGACAATATGTGGACATTCTGACAATATGTGTCAATTTGTGGACAAAGAAGGAAAACTCACCAAGGCAACAACAAAGCCATTCATATGGGGAAAGCATGGGTGTCCAGGAGCTGGAAGAGAGAAGATGGAGTGGTAGGAGCAGGGCCTTCCTAGGAAGGAGACCTCAGGCCTCACCCTCAGTGAAAGACCCAGCACAGTGAATGAACAGTTCCAGCCCTCAGTGGGGTGCGTGGGGTGGGGTGAGGAGCCATCTGGACCCCAAAACTATGCTGTGATTCTGGTTTGTTTGATTAAAAGGCAATGTCATTGTCACAGAAAAGCATTGTCACACATTGCTTTTCTAAGCATTTTGACCTCTCTGGATACACGAACGCTCTGACTACCTAATATTACAATAAGGTAAAAGATCCCATTAGGATCTGAAATAAGGCAGTTCAGAATAAGCCTGCAATAATAAGCTAAACAGTCCATGATGAATATCACTACTTCCACCGTATCTCCCATTCAGAGAGTCCTGGCTTATATTTGATATTCATGAATAGGTCAAGTTTATTGATTATATAAAGTTTATGCTGCTGGTGCCTATAAGGAGGTCATTTTTTTAATCTGTCGGGCTAAACACTTAAAGGCACTGTCCAATGAGTACCTTAGCGTCACTGGACCTCATTACACACGCTCAAATCAGTCTCTGGATGAGTTACCTTCATCTCCCGGCAGAGTCACCGCTGGCCAGGGTTATTGCTTTAATAATCCACATGTCTGCTGTTAATGTTTACCAGCTAGCTAATCAGAGCTCTAGAGAATACATGGCATGTTTGCATTGTTACAAGGTAGACATCATTTGACAATTAACTTCATTACAACTGGAATGTAATCATCCAACACTATCTCTTTTTATTTTTCACTGTGAGGCTTTAAGATAATTCAATATATATACATAAAACTCTGGGTACTAGATATGCATATAAATGCACTTATTTTCATAAGGATACATAAATATACTCACCCATATATATCCATACAATTATGAGGTATATGTACAATGTTTACATTAAAAGCGGATTGTTTTATTTAAATATTGCATAAAATAAGATTTCTCACTTGTTTTTTTTTGCCATACAATAAAAAATATATTCACAAATTAGGCACCAGGGGGCCATGTTAAAGCCACTGTAAATAGCGACTACTGGCATATGTTGAGTGTGTTTCGAATTGCTAACTTAAGAGAAAGTTTATTGTGATATTTGACATATAGGCAGTAATTTGGAAAGACAGAAAACACACTTAATTCCTCATTAAGCAGAGTTTTTAAATTGCACCTTAAGTTTGAGTGAAAGGAAGGAATATTTTAAAAAGATCTTGCACTTAAGCCATAATGACGTTTAATATCATTCCCTCCTTGTAGGCCTCGCAGTGCCGATTATTTTATGCAAGAAGCTAAACGAATGAAGCATAAAGCAGATGCAATGGTGAGACCCTTTTCTTTCCAGATACGTTCTTCCAAATTACGTGTGTACTGCAGCTTCATCACTGGGACAATATAGCTAGGGTAATTATAAAATCTATTACAAGGATGGCTGGGTCTGTTAAATGGAGAAATGTTTATATAATCAAGTGTTCATAGCCCAATAAATTATGACTTCAACCAATAATGCCTGACTGGGAAAAAGCCCTGGATAAATGAATATTTCAATTTAGTCCTAAGGTTTGAATAGTAACTAGAGCCAGTGGAGGCAGTGGGTGGTAGTATTTTTTTTCCCCCTTCAAAAAGTGAAATCTAGATTTGCATTTTTCTCTTGTTAGCCTGACAAACCCTTGGCTGAGTCCCAGGATCAAATCTCTTTTCAAAAACACTGGTGTTCTTCACATGTATCTGCCAAAAATGAATGCTTTCTCTGAAACCGTACAACACGGGAACTGTTATCTGTGCATAAGACTCTAAAGTCACCATGATTTGATGTTTTCAAAGAATAACTTTTCTTGCTTGGATAATCTCCTGTTTTGGAAAGCTTGAAGCTCCCAGGCAAGAGATAGAAAACTTTTGTTTTGTTTTCTAAAAGAGGTCATATGCTTGTTCCATCTTAAATGAATGAAGTCCAGAGGGACCGCTTCCCACATAGTAACTCGAGTTTAGTCTCCTCCAGTGTTCATAACTGAGATTGAGGCAGGTGCTGGACGTGAAGAAGGCATTTCCAGTGACCTTCAGAATACTGAAGATGTTTAAACAGTTACAGGCCGGGCGCGGTGGCTCAAGCCTGTAATCCCAGCACTTTGGGAGGCCAAAGCAGGCGGATCACGAGGTCAGGAGATCGAGACCATCCTGGCTAACCCGGTGAAACCCCGTCTCTACTAAAAAATACCAAAAAAACTAGCCGGGCGAGGTGGCAGGCACCTGTAGTCCCAGCTGCTCGGGAGGCTGAGGCAGGAGAATGGCATAAACCCGGGAGGCGGAGCTTGCAGTGAGCTGAGATCCGGCCACTGCACTCCGGCCTGGGCGACAGAGCGAGACTCCATCTCAAGAAAAAATTTAAAAAATAAAAAAAAATTAAAAAGACAGTTATATACCCCTCTTCCAGTGCTACCGACGTCACCTATTAAACACTTATTTACGTGAAGACCACTGCCTAGGCACACTGGGGTACAGGAGGAATTATCCCTACGTATCAGAAAATAGAGAAGGGCAGCGGAAGGTAAGCTCTTGTCCACACAATCTGAGTCTGATGGACAGTTCTGGTCATCTGGAGAAGCTGATGTATGGCCACTGTTGGAGAAGAGCATCAGATTTTTAAGGAGAAAGAGATTTTCTGCTTGAATCCAGCATCTAAAGTTTACAGCATTATTCATTCATTGTCCTCTTGCCCAACCCTATCTTTCCTGTTGACGATTTCCCAAGAGGAGACACTGCTCCAGCCAGGCTGGTCCCCTACTAACCTCTAAGCACACCTGGCTCCTGCCAGCCAGCGGGCGTTTGCAGGGATTCACTGTCACACATACTCTCACGGGCATACTCACACCCTCAGTGTCCTCCCCAAATCTAGCCAAACCCTACCATTCCTTCCTGGCATCATGTTCAGTCTCCTCCCTGTGGCCTTCCCAGCCTCTCTGCAGCCCTGTCACTAGCTCCCTTCCCTCCATCTCATTTGCACTGGATGCCTCGTCTTGCATTTTGTTGGGTAATCACAGACTGCCTTGCACTTTGAGCTATCTTGTAGGTGTACATTTTCTCTCTCCAAGTATATTATATGTTTGGCTTGTGGAGTGCACATACCACAGAATTCGGTGCTTTAGGAAATATTAATACTAAATGAAATGACTTCATCTGAAAGTGTTACCAAGAAATACTGCATTACAGGCCATAACACTTTCAGGTAACATCTGAAAGTGTTACCAAGAAATATTGCATTACAGGATCACACCTGTAATCCCAGTACCTTGGGAGGCTGAGGCAGGCAGATCATTTGAGGTCAGGAGTTCGAGACCAGCCTGGCCAACATGGTGAAACCCTGTCTCTACTAAAAATAGAAAAAAAAAAAAAATTAGCCAGATGTGGTGGTGCACACCTGTAATCCCAGCTACTTGGGAGGCTGAGACGAAGACTCGCTTGAACCCAGGAGGCAGAGGTTGCAGTGAGCCAAGATCACGCCACCATGCCTCAGCCTGGGTGACACAGTAAGACCCTGTCTCCAAAAAAAAAAAAACAAGAAATGTTGCATTATAACCTACACTAGCTTTATAAGCTGTTTACAAATTTGATTTGCTAGTGAGAGGAGGTTTTGCTCCGCATTTCTGTTTTTGAAGCTATCGTTACTAATGAAGTTTGTTTTTTTTTTTTTTTTGTATTTTTAGTGGCGAGACTTGGAATAGTATTTGAGTATTATGTCATTCGGTTTTAATTGATGAATGAATCATTTGAAAATTGTGGAGATTTTGCAATCCAGAGTTAGACTACGTAATTACCTACAAAGAGTAGTAAGGTATGGAGCCAGGAACTTGATGTGGAAGTTTAGATTTATGAGATCTTAAGAATATAAAGCTGCTCTCTGGCTGCCCTTGCTGATGTGGGAAAAGAATAACACAAATTTAGACAGCTACAGATAATTCCATAGACATTTGTTTTCTTTTGCTTTTAGAGACAGGGTCTTGCTCTGGTGTCCAGGCTGGAGCACAGTGGGGTGATCATAGCTCACTGTAACCTCAAACTTCCAGGCTCAAGTGATGCTCCTGCCTCACCTTCCCAAAACACTGGGATTACAGGCATGAGCCACCATGCCCAACCAAAAATCATTTGTATTTTCAACTTTTTGCCCCATTTTAGCACAGCTGAAATAGCTCCTTGAGATTTGTCTCCTCTCCTTTCCCCTACTCACTCTCACTCTTAAGTGAGGTTCTAAATATTAACAACAACAACAACAAACGATTGAGGCCAGGCGTGGTGACTTACGCCTGTAATTCCAGCTACTTGGGAGGCTGAGGCAAGAGAATCGCTTGAATGCAGGAGGCAGAGGTTGCAGTGAACCCAGATGGCACCACTGCACTCCAGCCTGGGCTACAGAGGGAGACTCTATCTCAAAAAAGAAAAAAAAAATGAGAAGAGGAAGGCATGGAGATGTAAGTGCCACAAGTAATGTAAAAGATAATAACCAAGGCTGGGCGCGGTGGCTCACGCCTGTAATCCCAGCACTTTGGGAGGCCGAGACGGGCGGATCACGAGGTCAGGAGATCGAGACCATCCTGGCTAACACGGTGAAACCCCGTCTCTACTAAAAAATACAAAAAATTAGCCAGGCGTGGTGGCGGGCGCCTGTAGTCCCAGCTACTCGGGAGGCTGAGGCAGGAGAATGGCGTAAACCCAGGAGGCAGAGCTTGCAGTGAGCTGAGATCCGGCCACTGCACTCCAGCCTGGGTGACAGAGCGAGACTCCGTCTCAAAAAAAAAAAAAAAAAAAAAAGATAATAACCAAGGCCTGGAACCATCCGAGTTGAGGATGTACCAAAAGAAGTATGAAAACTCTTATATGGGACCAGACCTATGAACTTTGATGCATATTTAGCATAGCATGGAGGAACAAGGAATGAAGTCTCCAAAGCATTAGGGGTTGGAAAGAGGGAAACAGAAATCAGAGCAGCCATGCAGTTCTGAGCTGTGTTGATTGGCAGCTGTCACATGGGTTTGATACAATTCTGTACGTAACTGTTTGCTCACTTACTCCAAGCCAGTAGCAGTTTGAGAAAATAACTAGAAAAAGAAGTATTCTATTTCTTTCTTCTCTCAGCTTCATTCACAGGATTTTAGAAGTCAGAGTTGGGTTTCTCAAAGTGTATAAACTACATGACAATGCCATTTTTTAAAAAACTGTTGTTTAGGAAAACGCTATATTAACTCTGTTGATCAGGTGGAAAAGTTTGGAAAGGCTTTGAACTATGCTGAAGCGGCGTTGTCGTTTATTGAGTGTGGAAATGCAATGGAACAAGGCCCCATGGAATCCAAATCTCCTTATACGATGTATTCAGAAACAGTAGAGCTCATCAGGTAAGCACTGTGTTTTCTTGCTGGATGAGGGGAGGAGGTGAGGAGTGTGGGGAAGTACTATGGAAACAGAGAAAAGAATGTCAGCCTGGCCAGGCGCGGTGGCTCACGCCTGTAATCCCAGCACTTTGGGAGGCCGAGGCGGGTGGATCACGAGGTCAGGAGATCGAGACCATCCTGGCTAACACGGTGAAACCCCGCCTCTACTAAAAAATACAAAAAATAACCCTGGCGTGGTGGCGGGCGCCTGTAATCCCAGCTCCTCGGGAGGCTGAGGCAGGAAAATGGTGTGAACCCGGGAGGTGGAGCTTGCAGTGAGCTGAGATCGTGCCACTGCACTCCAGCCTGGGCAACAGAGCGAGACTCTGTCTCAAAAAAAAAAAAAAAGAATGTCAGCCTGCACCATCCCCCACCAGGAACCAGTGTTCATCCTCCAAAATAAGAGGGTAAGGTTGTGCAAGGCACCTTGGCACACCCTGCCCCGCTCTGTCCTCCGTGAGCAAGAGGGCAGCTGCTGTGGCCCCCGATTGCCGAGGGAGGAGACTGAATCTGAGTGGGCTGTGACATACCTGCTCCTCCCAGCTAGGAAGTGGCAGATTTTGAGCCTATTTCAGCCCTAGGCTGCTTTAAAAAAAAAAAAAAAAAATCTGGTTCAGGTTAGTATCATCTAAATCTTACCTCCATCAGTAAATACTTCTGGAGTATTTAATGAAAGAAGATTCAGGGGGATTTTATGGAAGGAGAACCCATCTTCTATCTGCTCTGGAACCTGGCCATGGGCACCATCCCCCAACCTGGGTTAAGAGCTGTGAGCAGACGTGTCAAGGCATTCGATGGAAAAAACTCATCCTCCGTGATGCAGACCTGGAAAGGCACCTCCGTCACGCCTCTGTAATGAACAGTTCAGGGAATTTCATCCATTAGCCCTACTGAGCACCTTCATTGTATGGTGTATGTTTTTAGCCAGTGTAACTGCTTGACATAATGTCTGATATCCACAATGAGAAATAATTCTTCCTAAAACAAACTTTTAAAGGTTTTTCTGATTCCGGGATTCTGTGCAATTGAAGCTGAGACATTTTCCATGTCCCAACATTCTGCATGGAAGATTTCTAATCGTCTTAGGATGTGATCTTTTTGGTCTACATTGGCCCAAAGATGCTACTTGGTGTTTTACACACCACTCTCCCTCAGTAAATAGTTTCCAGCCTTCAGAACTGTCATTCCAACATCAGAGAACACATCACCTCCAAAAGCATTTTTCAGGAATGTTTTAAAGTCAACACTGCCCATTTTTCTTAATAAAGTGTTTCCACTAAATCAATATATTGGCGAATCCTTTATACTGTCTTTTTATATGGCACATTACTTTCAGCAGTGATGAAATAAAAACAGCAAAGTAAAAAGACTGGTAAAAATTACTCTAAGAGATCCTCGATCCATACATTCCTTCCTCAGAACAAGGCCCAGCCTCAGATGTTTATTGGCAGGCAAGGGAGGAAAGTGGGAGAAACTGGACAGGGACAAAGCTGGAAGATGCCCTAGAGTGTGAGTACCTTGAGCACAAGGATTTTTTGGGGTTTTGTCTGATTTGCTCACTGGAAATCCTCGGCCCCTCGAACATTTTCTGGCACATAGTATGTGCTTAATAAACAATTGAGGAATCAGGCCGGGAGCGGTGGCTCACACCTGTAATCCCAGCGCTTTGGGAGGCCAAGACGGGCGGATCACGAGGTCAGCAGATCGAGGCCATCCTGGCTAACACGGTGAAACCCCGTCTCTACTAAAAATACAAAAAATTAGCCGGGCGTGGTGGCGGGCGCCTGTAGTCCCAGCTACTCGGGAGACTGAGGCAGGACAATGGCGTGAACCCCGGAGGCGGAGCTTGCAGTGAGCCGAGATCGCGCCACTGCACTCCAGCCTAGGCAACAAAGCAAGACTCCGCCTCAAAAAAAAAATTAAATAAAATAAACAATTGAGGAATCAATGAATAAGCAAGCCATAGGACCTGCTATGAACTGGGGTATCATGACCTGCTTAAAGGCATTCACGCTTGAAAATTCAAACAAGCAAGCCCAAACAAACAAAAAACCATGCGAGCCAGATATACCATCAAGGAGAGGGTGCTGGGGTACCACACCCACTGCGCCCACTGCTGGAAGTAACCTTTCACAGGTAGAGAACACTGTCCACCTTCTAGATACTTCAGAATGAATAGAATCACGTAAAATACAGAGAAAATGGAGACAAAAAGACAAGTTTGGCTCTTTCTTTTTTCTTTTTCTTTTTTTTTTTTTTTTTTTTTTTTTTTTTTTTGAGACTTTCACTCTTCCTGCCCAGGCTGGAGTGCAATGGCACAATTGCGGCTCACCACAATCTCCGCCTCCCGGGTTCAAGTGATTCTCCTGCCTCAGCCTCCCCAGTAGTGGGATTACAGGCATGCGCCACCACATCCAGCTAATTTTGTATTTTTAGTAGAGACAGGGTTTCTCCATATTGGTCAGGCTGGTCTCGAACTCCTGACCTCAGGTTATCAGCCTGCCTCGGCCTCCCAAACTGCTGAGATTACAAGCATGAGCCACCGCACCTGGCCAGCTGTTTTTTCAACCTACGTTAGAAAACAACATTAATTGACCAGGCACGGTGGCTCATGCCTGTAGTCCCAGCACTTTGGGAGGCTGAGGTGGGCAGATCACAAGGTCAGGAGATTGAGACCATCCTGGCTAACACGGTGAAACCCCGTCTCTATAAAAATACAAAAAATTAGCCAGGCGTGGTGGCGGGCGCCTGTAGTCCCAGCTACTCAGGAGGGTGAGGCAGGAGAATGGCGTGAACCCGGGAGGTGGAGCTTGCAGTGAGTCTAGATTGTGCCACCGCACTCCAGCCTGGGTGACAGAGCAAGACTCCATCTCAAAAAAGAAAAAAAAAAACAGCATGAATTACATCCGCACATTGCCCACCCTGCTGACCCTCCTCTCCCCTACTGAGACACTGAAGGGCCTGGAGCACTGGCAAGGGGTTCTCACCACCAAAAATGACCCAGCTCAGGATGTACACTTTGTCCCTACAGACAGGAGAATTTCCTTCTCCACCAGGGAACTCCAGATGGCCAAGCGGGCGTGGGTCATTGGAGCACTGTCACCACAAGAGCCCAGCCTGGTGACCCTCTCTTCCCACCCTCCCGCTCTCCGCAGGCAGCACTATCAGGGATGAACAGAAGCCCTGGTGACACCAGATCAACCACACAGACTAAAATAGTATCAGAAAGGCCTGAAAATTAAATTGTAATTGGAACCACGGCCCCCAGAGTAGGCTAGAGCCTTCCTGCTAGACCTAAACAGGGCGGCTGGATTTAAAATAGGACTCAGAGTCTCCTAAACTAATGGTCAAAATGTCCGGGATACCACGGGAGCTCCCTCCTCATACCAAGAACCAGGACAGTAACCACTGGCATGAAAAAAGATGATCAGAAGACCTCAATGCAGAGATGAATCGGTTGCTGGAATTACCCGACAAGGATTTTTAAAGCAGCCATCGTAAAAATGCTTCAATAAATAATCACAGTTATCACTCGACAAACAAAAAATACAAAATCTTTTCAAAGAAATGGAAGTTACTTTAAAAAGAACCAAATGGAAATTGTGAAACTGTAGAATTGGATAATATAAACCCCAAAAATGGACTCAGTAGTAGAGTGGAGATGACAGGAGAGAGTCAATGAACTTGAGGACAAAAAAATATAATTTACCCAATCTGAGCAGTAAAGAAGAAATAGACTGAAAAAGCTAAATGAACACAGCCTCAAGCACAGTAAGAAAAGATCCAACATTTGTGTCATGGAAGTCTCAGAGGAGAGGAATAGAGAGTGGGACTGAGAGAGTATTTAAAGAAATAATGGCTGAAACTTGCCAAATTTGTCAAAAGACATAAACCTACAGACTTAAGAAGCAGAGAAAAACCCAAATAAGATAAACCCAAAGAAATGCATGCAAAAACACACCATAATTACATTTCCAAAAACTGAAGACCAAATATCCTGAAAGCAGCCAGGGAGAAATGATAATTATCTGTTGGGGAGAATCAATTCAAATGACAGCAGGCTTCTCTGAAACTAGGCAGGCTGGGAGGGACTGGCGTGACAGTTTCCAAGGGTTGAAAGAAGGAACTCTCAAGCCATGAATTCTAGAGTCAGTGAAACTGTTCTTCAAGAATGAAGGGAAATAAGATATCCTCAGATTTAGGAAAAGTACAAGTATTTGTCTCTAAAAGACCCACCCTTAAAGACTGACTAAAAGAAGTTTCTCAAACAGAAAGAAAATGGCAAAAGAAGGAATATGGGAGCATTGGGAAAGAAAGAAGAACAGACACATAGATATATACAATATACTTCTCTCCTTATGAGTTTATAAAGCAGATTTGAGGATTGAAACAAAAATTATACCAGCAGGCCAGGCACAGTGGCTCACATCTGTAATCATAGCACTTTGGGAGGCCAAGGTGGGAGGATAGCTTGAGGCCAGGAGTTTGAAACCAGCCCAGACAACATAGTAAGACACCACTGCTACAAAACAAAAAAAACTAAAAAATTATACCACCATCTGATACAATGCTATTTTTAAGTGGGGAAGGTAAAGGTATCTAAATTGAAGTAAGACTTCCATACTTCCAAAGTGATAAAATGTTGATACCAATAAATTACATGTATATTGTAAAACCCAGAGCAACCACTGTAAAAATTATGCAAAGAGATAACACTCAAACATGCGACAAGTCTGCATGTTGTGGAGATAGTGCGATGGTAACAGTATGTTTCTTGAGCAATTTACAAGCCGGCCTGCTATCCCAAGAGCTTCACAAACACTATCTTAGTTAATTTTTACAACAATGTTATGTGATTGGCAGTATTAGTCTTATTTTATAGGTAAGTAAATGGAGGCTTAAATATGTTCATACATTTGTCTAAGCTCTTACAACTTATAAGTCGCTGAGCTGAGATTTGAACCTAGGACAATCTGATCATTACACCTATTGCCTCAGCTCTCTCAAAGAGTCTACATATGTAATTTGGTATGTTGTTGGGAGAAAGCAATGGCCACAGTCCCCTTGGTTCAGAAAAATAAATGGAATTAAGTGCAGCCCATAAAAGCCACTAGTTTCTCTTCACACCTGTCTGTAGAAGCAAATAGAGATTTAAAATGTACTCAGGACACTTACATAGCTGTCAAAAGTTACATAACAAAGAAAGAGGGGTAAATCTAAGCATTCCTCTGCATACCCAGGGTGGAAATTCTTCCAGAGGTAAGCACAGAAGGATGGAACTTCACCTCCATTCACCTCCACTTCAACTCTCACCTGAGTCAGACACTCAGCCATAAATCAAAATTTGGAAAAACGGACATGTTACCATATACATGAATAGTTCTTGAACTGGTATCGCTCCCGACAATCTGTAGCATTTGAACTTGTATTGTTAAAGAGCAGAAAGTAGCTGTTCTAGTCATCACAGTACTGTAACACTTGGGAAAATGGAGCAGCACCAGCTAGCTTTTAAGAAAGAATTATCAGCAAGTACTATGCAAAGCGAAGGATCAGGCAGGGAGAACTCCCATCATAGAAGTTCTGTTAATAAGAAAGCTTGTTTGACAATTTCTTGGCTTTTTATATTTTTTATTCTATTCCTCCTCCTCCCTTTTTCTAAGGTATGCCATGAGACTAAAAACCCACTCAGGCCCCAACGCCACACCAGAAGACAAACAACTGGCTGCATTATGGTGAGTGCCCCTCTCCGCTTAGAATAGCAGCCCCAGCCTCGCATGCCGTCACTGGCAAACCAGGTGCTGAAATGCATAGTGTTGGCCCAGTGTCTTCTAACATACAAAGCCCCAGAGCAGTTCTAATGACCTGGGAAAGTCCAGACCATTTTTTTGCTGCTGTACTATACATGATCTGAATTCACAGTGATTGAAAATCGACAGGCCTCCCAAAGTGCTGGGATGACAGGCACGAGCCACCGTGCCCGGCCTAATTTTTGTATTTTTAGTAGAGACGGGGTTTCACCATGTTGGTCAGGCTGGTCTTGAACTCCTGACCTCAAGTGATCTGCCCGCCTTGGCCTCCCAGAGTGCTGGGATTACAGGCGTGAGCTGCGGCACAGCCACTTATTTTGAAAATGATGCCACAGAAAAAAGGGAACGATGTGGTCACCTATAGTTCCTTTACCTGTCAGCCCTTCCTTACTCATCAGTAGGTGGAAGGCAGAGAATGTTGATAGAATACATGTCTATCAAGCAGTGAGATAAAGACAGTTGAATTAAAAAATAATAATAACAGCAACAGACGCAAAAAAAGGTCTCAGATTGTTACCTGTCCTGGGTTTGGTTTGCTAGGAGGAGATGGTGCCATTGTACCCAGAATGTCCACATTCTGGATGTCAAGCATGAGATCCGAGTTAGCAAATAACTGAGTGAAGAGCTGCAAGGAAGAGAGGACACGTCTCAGAAATGCCTTTTGTGCCCCTTTCAAACTTTAAGTCCCATCTTGGAATAATACACTAAATGACAATAATATTATGATATAAGATAGAATACTGATGGAAGTATACAGAATAGTATAGGAAACAATAAAATGATGGCACCCATTCCCAGCGTAGTGTTTTTATTGTTTATAAAGTACATTCATGTTTGCGACTTTAGTGGAGCTGGTTATGGTTCAGTAAAGTCAGGTGGCAGCGCCGTCCTTTCCGCAGAGCAGGGCTGGCCCGGGAAGCAGTGAAGGCTGCGTGCTAGAGCTACCTCGCGCCTCTCGTGGAGAGACAGTGCCCTCTCGTGGTGGAAGAGGGAAGCGGCCAGCCCCTGTGACCCAACAGTGATTCCGTCATGCTGTGAAATTTCCTAGTGGTAAATGCATTTATGGAAAACCTTCTTGGAATGTTGAATTCTGTTTTTGGGCAAAAGGCGTTCACTCAGACATTATATGCAGATAGAGAAAGATTTCCTATATAGAAACAAGGTTTAGTTATTGAGTGCCTTAGAACAAACAACAAAAACGTTTAAGTCTTGTTTGCACAGGACGCACTCAGTCGCTTCTGGGCCTGTTTCTCTTTTCGCCTGCAGTTACCGATGCCTGGCTCTCCTGTACTGGCGGATGTTTCGACTCAAAAGGGACCACGCTGTAAAGTATTCAAAAGCACTAATTGACTATTTCAAGGTACTGTCTAGTGAACGAGCGGAGTTGTTCCTTAAATTCAGTTGTCTCCCTGTCAAGGTCATTTGTGGAGCACCTGGTAGAACCCATTGCTTTGGGGCTAATCAGGTCACCTCTGGTCCCCAAGCTAACCCAATTGATGCCACCCTTGTGGCTTTCAGGACTCAGAATGGGCCTTTGAGAGCCCATCTAATGTATCTCCCTGCCTTGTCCAAGTATTTATTTTTTTTTTGTATTTTTGGAGATGGAGTTTCACGCTTTGTCGCCCAGGCTGGAGTGCAAGGGCGTGATCTCGGCTCACTGCAACCTCCGCCTCCTGGGTTCAAGTGATTCTCCTGCCTCAGCCTCCAGAGTAGCTGGGATTACAGGTGCCTGCCACCATGCCTGGCTAATTTTGTATTTTTAGTAGAGACAGAGTTTCACCATGTTGGTCAGGCTGGTCTCGAACTCCTGACCTTAGGTGATGTGCCCGCCTCGGCCTCCCAAAGTGCTGGGAATGCAGGTGTAGCCACCACGCCCAGCCTTGTCCAAGTATTTTTATGACTTCAAGAGAAAGAAGATCCAGTTACTCTTTCCAGTGTCCTAGGAAATTCATCTTTATAGCTAACATAAATTCCTTGTGCTCACTTAGAGCTTATTTTCGTTATAAGTAACCCCTTAGAGCCATTCCCTCTTAGCTAGTCTCTGGTAGCTAATTTAATTTTTAATAGAGGCGTTATTTAAAATGGTAAGAGATGGCTTGTTGAAAGCAGTAGATAGCAATGTGTAGCTATAGGGATAAAATCGCAAACCATGCCACCTTTTATTTTTCTCAGGGAATGAAATTATTTTCACTGGGAGAATAAATTTTTTAAAGCCTTCTCTGATGTACTGTTGTGAGATTGACCTTACATTAATAATTCATTTGAGATTTCTGGGCCTCTTCTCTGTTTGTCTATAGAAACTAGCAATTATGCCATCTCTATCTCCAACAGCCCTTTGTCAGATACACAACCATCATTTGAGATCTGTTCATGCCCAGCCTCCTCTAGAGGTGATCTCTAATGGCCAGGCTGTGCTGGGGGTTCCTGAGGCATGTTCAGCACACTGCCTTCTAATTGTCCACATGAGTAACCAGGTGCTAGGCCGTGGACATCACTTCCTCGGCCTGCTGACCCTCTGGTGTCGTCAGGACAAGCACCAGCACTGAGTCTTTCCTTTCCTTCAGGTACCTGAGCATCAATAGTGCTCAGAAATCCAGACCATAAGAGCTAATACTAAAGAAAATTATTACAGTCAAGGAAAATGCTTGAATAAAGAAGGAAGCTGAATTCCGTAAGCAGCCAGGAGCTACAACAAACTTTTAAGGAATACAAGTTCTTAATATTCTCTGCAGTCTACGAATACATACAGAATGGGTAGAAAACACACCGGGCCTGGTGGCAGGCGCCTGTAATCCCAGCTACTCGGGAGGCTGAGGCACGAGAATTACTTGAACCTGGGAGGCGGAGGTTGTAGTGAGCCAAGATTGCACCGCTGCACTCCAGCCTGGGCGACAGAGTAAGACTTTGTCTCAAAAAAAAAAAAAAAGAAAATCAGAGTTTCTCCTCTGGGAGTTAATGTCATTTACCCTTCATCAAAAGCTATTTTTAAAATTTTTTTAATTAACCAACAACAAATTGCATGTGCTTATGATGTATAATGTGATGTTTTGATATATTTATACATCGTGGAATGATTAAACCAAGCTAATTAACATATCCATCACCTCACATACTGTTTTTGTGATGGGAACATTTAAAATCGATTCTTTTAGAGATTTTCAAGTATACTATACATTATTATGAATTGTAGTCACCATGCCTTACAGTAGATCTCCAGAACTTATTCCTGATAACTGAAACTTGGATACAAAGTTTCAAGGGCTTTGTTTTGTTTTGTTTTTTGAGTCCTGCTCTGTTGCCCAGGCTGGAGTGCAGTCGTAGTGTCATACAGTCGTACGGTCGTACAGTCGCATGGTCATACAGTCGCACGGTCATACAGTCATACTGTCGTACAGTCGTATGGTCATACAGTCGTACCATCGTGCAGTCGCACGGTTGTACAGTCGCACAGTCGTACAGTCGCACCTGTCGTACGGTCATACAGTCGTACAGTCGTACGGTCATACAGTCATATCGTCGTACCGTCGTGCAGTCGTACTGTCAGAGCTCACTGCAGCTGTGAATTCCTGAGCTCAAGCAGTCCTCCCACCTCAGCCTCCCAAGTCACTGAGACCACAGACACACGCCTCCACACCCAGCTCATTTTTTCATTTTCTGTAAACATAGAATCTCCTCGTGTTGTCCAGGCTCTTCTTGAACTCCTGTCCTCCAGCCAGCCTACCGCCTCGGCCTCCCACAGTGCTAGGATTACCAGTGTGAGCCACACACCCAGCCTCAAGGGCTATTTAAATGCTACTTTGAGTTCAGAGACTATGAAATCTTTAGGTACCCAAGACAATGTGGCTATATGTGTTTTATCAGTACAGAGCTAGCTCTAAAAAAAAGAACTTTGTTCCTGCCGATATTTCTTGGGCATGGGACTTAGGGGTAGAGGAAGAGAACTCAAGACCTCTTTTTTTTTTTTTTTTTTTAGACGGATTCTCACTTTGTCACCCAGGCTGGAGTGCAGTGGCACAATCTTGGCTCACCCTAACCTCCACCTCCCAGGTTCAAGCGATTCTGTCTCAGCCCCCTAAGTAGTTGGGATTACAGGCATGTGCCACCACACCCGGCTAATTTTTTGTATTTTTAGTAGAGATAGGGTTTCACCGTGTCGTCCAGGCTGGTCTCAAACTCCTGACTTCAGGTGATCCACCCACCTCAGCCTCCCAAAGTGCTGGGATTACAAGCGTGAGCCACCACCTTCTTCCTCCATTCAGTAGCCTTTATTGGACTGTTTCTGCAACCCCCAAGCCTTTCTCCCCTTCTGCCCTTAGTGTTCTCATATCCAGAACATCCATTCTATAGATCACGTTCTCAGAACCACAGGATGAAATGGAAACAAAGCGATCCATCCAGTAGCACCAGCTTGAGAAAGGGGTCAGTAACATTCCGTCAGGAAAGGGAGGATAAGCTCCCCTGTTCCGGAAGGTTTCCTGATTCTCCTCATGAAAATAATTGTATTTCCTGAGACAGGCAGAAGTGGCATGGTTTGCAATGCTGTCCTTACACGTACATCTTGCCATCGTAGCACCTCAGAGTTCTGACAGGCCATTTCTTGCCGTTTTAATAACACCCGCGCTAAAAACAGAAAAATCAGTCGCCACTCCATAAAGTCGTTTCTAACCAAAAGAAACGTGTTGTCTCTGGAGAAGCAGGCTGAGGCTGTTTTCTTGTCTCTGGAAAGGAAAAACTCCCATCAGCATCACAAAGACCGTTTTCTTCTTTAACAGTCCTACGAAGGCATGATTGGGTTCTGACAGGAAATCTAACTGTGCATTGAGCAGCTTCCCTAACTAGAGGCCAAACTTTTAAATATCGATGCAAGCCCCTGGCTTGTGCAACAGAACTTCCCAAACCAGAATATTCAGATAAACCAGAATGTCTGAACATCCTGTCAGTTATGGAAATATATTTTAATCAATTCTTTTAGGAATATGCAATAGCAACTTCCTTCAAGAAGAAATACTTTTAAACTTTCTAAGTTAAAACAATGTAATCTGATGTCATATATTTTCAGGCACTAAGTAAATGTATGTCGACTGTTTCTGCAAATATGTCCTACTTTTAAATATAAAGTGTATGAGGGGGTATATGAGGGAGTTCCTGCTCTTTTTTCCTTTTAAGAAAAATTAATTTACAATGAAAAAATAAGGCTGCTTCAAGATTTAACAGACCCTTGGGATTATGACTTAACGTGGTACCTAAAATTTGTGCATAAAAACCCAGGCTGTGGGTGAAGCCCTTCACTTACCTCACTGAGGGCTGATGCAGGCACCTTGTTCGTGCAAAATAACTTCTAAATCGGAATATTCAGATGAACTAGAACTTTGGAGTATCCTGTCTGCTAGGGAAATACATTTAAGTATATTCTCTTAGGGGTATTCCAGAGCAAGTTCCTTTAAGGGAAATATTGTTAAGCTTCGGAAGTCCAGCAGCTTCCCTGACTCTCTTCCAGAAAGGGAACAGAGAACTGTGATGGAGACTTCCCAGGTCCAGTTTCTCTGAAGGGGCCTTTCTCCTGCGGTGTCTGCCTTTGCTTCTCTCTGCAGTCACGTGAAAACACATTCGTGTCACCTGTTCCCCCTCACTCCGATGGCACTCACTGTCACTGTTGTTCTTTTCTTGCAGAACTCATCTAAAGCCGCCCAAGCCCCATCCCCGTGGGGGGCCAGTGGAAAGTAAGTTCACTTTTCCAAAGTCAATGCCAGACAATGCATGGTGCTGGGCCACTGCGCTTTGCTTTCCGTTCCCCAAGGGGCTGCCCTGCCTCGCTTGCTCCCGACCTCGCCACTCTGGTTTTTCTACCTCTCCCCTTCCAGGAGCACTGGAACCCCATCCCCCATGTCTCCCAACCCCTCTCCCGCCAGCTCAGTGGGGTCTCAGGGCAGCCTCTCCAACGCCAGCGCCCTGTCCCCGTCGACCATCGTCAGCATCCCACAGCGCATCCACCAGATGGCGGCCAACCACGTCAGCATCACCAACAGCATCCTGCACAGCTACGACTACTGGGAGATGGCCGACAACCTGGCCAAGGAAAACCGAGGTGAGTGCGCCCCGCAGGGAACCAGGAGCCCACCTGATCGGGGCAGCGGTGGGCAAGTTTCCATGACCTCTCGAAAGAGAAATAGGAGGAGTTGTCGCCAGTGGTGGGAGACCCTTCCTGCCCTCTCCCTGACCGCGGGACCTCCAATGCCTTGGTCTCCCTCTATCCTTAGTGGAAGATGGTGTGAGACACACCCAGGTGCAGGTATAAATACGCACACCTACACTTTTCCCTTTAGCCAGCAGGCTTCCTGAAGGGAGGAACTATATTGTATTCAAGTTTGTGTTCCTAAGACCTAGCCCAGTGCCTAGAACACAGGTGGAGCTCTGAAACACTGAATGAATGAATGAATGAATGAATGAGAATGTTACTAACTCTGAGTGCCGGCTGCTTACAGTTGAAAAGAGCGTTTTATGTGTAAGCTGTATTTCTTTTTGAATAACATTTGTTTTTACTAATTATAAAAGTAATATAAAGCAGGGCACGGTGGCTCACGCCTGTAATCCCAACACTTTGGGAGGCCGAGGCGGGCAGATCACCTGAGGTCAGGAGTCCAAGAGCAGCCTGGCCAACGTGGCAAAACCCCGTCTCCACTAAAAATACACAAAATTAGCCAGGCATGGTGGTGCACGCCTATAATCCCAGCTACTCGGGAGGCTGAGGCAGGAGAATGGCTTGAAACCAGGAGGCAGGAGAAAGACTTGCTAGAGGCAGAGGTTGCAGTGAGCCAAGATCATGCCATTGCACTCCAGCCTGGGAAACAGAGCGAGACTCTATCTAAAAAAAAAAAAAAAAAAAAAAAGCCAGGCACGGTAGCTCACGCCTATAATCCCAGCTCTTTGGGAGGCCAGGGTAGGCGGATCATGAGGTCAGGAGATCGAGGCCATCCTGGCTAACACAGTGAAACCCCGTCTCTACTAAAAATACAAAAAATTAGCCGGGCATGGTGGCGGCGCCTGTAGTCCCAGCTGCTCGGGAGGCTGAGGCAGGAGAATGGCGTGAACCCGGGAGGCGGAGCTTGCAGTGAGCTGAGATAGTGCCACTGCACTCCAGCCTGGGCGACTGAGCGAGACTCCCATCTCAAAAAAAAAAAAAAGATAATGCATACTTACCATGGCTACATTTGTAAAGCACAGAAAACTTCAGAGAAAACAACTTCTAAATCATCAATAATTTTTTTTTTTTTTTTTTTGAGATGGAATCTCACTCTGTTGCTCAGGCTGGAGTGCAGTGGCGTGATCTCTGCTCACTGCAACCTCTGCCTCCTGGGTTCAAGCGATTCTTCTGCCTCAGCCTCCTGAGTAGCTGGGATACTCGTCCAGTTGTATATCCTTTCTTCATTTGACATTGTATCAGGCATTTTCTCATGTCACTAACTAGTTCAAAAACACCCTTTACGGTGGTTCTATGATAATATCCTAGTACACTGATTATATAGTCACAAAGTATCCTGATTTCTCAAACCATTCTCCTGTTGTTAGACATTTACGTTCCTTCCAGTTTTTTTCCACTGTGACAGATAGTGTTGGGATAAATATCCCTACATAAGTCATTGTTCATATTTCTGGTTATTTTCTTTTTTTCTTTTTTTTTTTTTTTTTTTTTTGGTTTGAGACAGAATCTTGCTCTGTTGCCATGCTGGAGTGCAGTGGCCTGATCTCGGCTCATGGCAACCTCTGCCTCCCGGGTTCAAGCGAGTCTCTCAGCCTCCCAAGTAGCTGGGACTATAGGCGTGTGCCACCACGTCCAGCTATTTTTTGTATTTTTAGTAAAGGCGGAGTTTCACCATGTTGACCAGGATGATCTCGATCTCTTGACCTCGTGATCTGCCTGCCTTGGCCTCCCAAATTACTGGGATTACAGGCATGAGCCACCACGCCTGGCCACATTTCTGATTATTTTCTTAGGAGGGAGTTGTGGAATAAAATTTGGGGGTCAACAGGTATACATTCTCTTAAGATATATATTGTTCTTTATATTGACATATGCTGTTAACTCTTCTCCTGAAAGATTATACTAATTTATTATTGTCCCTGCAGCGGCAGGTAAGAGTGCAAATCTGAGTTCACTTTCAGCTCATGAAATGCAAATTATGTTCCCGTGATAGCATGGAGGCATGATAGCTCGAAAGTGAAGAGCAAGATGTTCAGGATGAGATAAGGAATGTGTGGCAGAGTGCATGAGATTGTAAATAAAACCACATAGTACATAACATGCAGCCCAGAGAGAGTCCAGTGAGAATGCCATGGGGGTCAGAAGCCACAAAGAGGAGCTTGCTAGAGGGTCTGGCATGGAATCATGAAACAGGGCTTTGAAAAGCACTTAGATTTTGGGAGGCCGAGGTGGGTGGATCGCCTGAGGTCAGGAGTTCGAGACCAGCCTAGCCAACATGGTGAAACCCCGTCTCTACTAAAAATACAAACATTAGCCGGGTGTTGTGGTGCACACCTGTAATCCCAGCTACTCAGGAGGCTGAGGCAGGAGGATTGCTTGAACCTGGAAGGCGGTGGTTGCAGTGAGCCAAGATCGCACCATTGCACCCCAGCCTGGGCGACAGAGCGAGACTCCATCTCAAGGAAAGAAAAAAAGAAAAGTGCTTAGCAGTTGAGTGACTGAAATGGGTGGGGTGGGTGTCACCAGTGGACAACACAGAAAGGACAAATGTGTAGAAATGCACGTGTCCAGTTTGGGAGACTATGAGCAAGCCAAGCTCCAGATGGCGCTGCCAGCTGCCTGCTAGATGTCTCCCACCAGGGGGCTCAGTGCCGAGTGTCCAGTGCAGACTTGGCATTGTTCCCCTGCCCCTGCCTGCTGCTCCTCCTCTGTTCTACCCCTGGATCCCTGCCCCGGCCAACCTCCCAGCCACCTCCCCATCCCTGCCCCAGCAGGTCTTCATTCAACATGTATGTGAGGACCTTTGAGACACTTCTCCCAGATACTTACCGAGAAGTGTATTCAGTGGCCAGCATGACAGTAGAGTAGCCATAAGAATGTGTTTGCCTCTACCAAACTATGATCTTAGAGACAGCAGAACCCACACGATTCACCCTGCTATCCTCCCCTACCCCCCTGCACCTAGCAGAGTGCCTTGGTACATCAGAAATATTTGTTTGTTTTTGAGGCAGAGTCTTGCTCTGTGGCCCAGGCTGGAGTGCAGTGGCACAATCTCAGCTCACTGCAACCTCTGCCTCCCGGTTTCAAGCGATTCTCCCACCTCAGCCTCCGGAGTAGCTGGGATTACAGGTGTGCACCACCACACCCAGCTAATGTTTGTTTATGTCTTTAGTAGAGACTGGGTTTTGCCATGTTGGCCCAGCTGGTCACGATCTCCTGACCTCAAGCAATCTACCGGCCTCTGCTTCCTAAAGTGCCAGAATTACAGGTGTGAGCCACTGTGCCTGGCCACATCATAAATGTTTGGTGAAAGGGCAAACCTAGGGAATGTTCAAAAGCTAGAAGGTGACTTCAGTTCAGGTGTCTCATGGCCCATCTCTGATTTACCCCTAGAAAACTAGAGCCTCACCCCTTGGACTCACTCCGGGGGCTCAGCACAGGCCTGAATTGAATACAGGGTGAGGGACAACGGAGCCACACTCACATTCAGGAGTGGGAAGCATTACTAGACTAGGAGAATGCAGCCAGAGGATATGGATTTTCTTTGCGATTTGGCTAAGCGAATACTATTCATTTGACTTAGAAATGGCAGATACCATGTATTTATTTATTTGGATATAGGATGAGTTCCCCACCCTTGGATTTTATTTTGTTCAAAGGAATGTTAAGTTCCGTGATGGAACAGAGAACCCTTGATTTATATAGAGACCATGAATGCAATTTTTTCTTACATCGTTTGCTCAGGGTAGCACACCTCGCATCTGTGGCATTCTTAACGACTCTCTCTGTCCCCCAGAATTCTTCAACGACCTGGATCTGCTCATGGGGCCGGTCACCCTGCACAGCAGCATGGAGCACCTGGTCCAGTACTCCCAACAGGGCCTGCACTGGCTGCGGAACAGCGCCCACCTGTCATAGGGACCTCACCCTGGAGCCAGATCGGGCTCTGGTCTCCACAGATGGCTCAACACTTTTGGACACTGTGCTACTGAAATTCCCAGCCACAGCATTCATCAGACTGCGGTGAACATTCCCTCAGCATTGAACAATGGTCTTTTGCAGGGCATGTGTGTTTGTATGTGTGGGTATATAAGAAGCCGCCTGTGTATGTGTGTAAGAAACACAGCTCTTCAGAACACACCTTCTTTGTCTAGTTTCCATAATCCCAGGCTAGACAAAGTGATCAGAGGTTTCTAGTTAGAAGAAATACACACACACACACACACCATACTCACACACAATCACAGACGCACACTTTCTATTCCAGTGCTAAACCATGACTTCTTAGAAAATTCAACCAAAATCTCATGGGTTAGTTAACCAGGTGCAATACAGCACACCAAAAGCTTGACTGCTGGTGAACATAGACCTGCTCTTATACTGTTGATTACTTTCGGTATTAATATACTATTCCCCAATTATTTTTTGATCGGTATGTATTAATGGGTAATTGAATAATGAAAATAAGCCAGATATTTTTGTGCCAGAAGTTTCCTAGATTGCATGTTACCAAATACCCTGCTCTTCCTCTAATTCCCTTCCCCCATCTGACTTTATTGTCAGCTCAATGCATTCCAGGCAAACGGATGGACACTCACAGCCCTTCCCAGCCCCACCTCCAAGTAGTGTGCAGATGGCACTGAGATTTAGCAAAAACTCCGCATCTTTGAAAGTTCACAGACTCTAAAGCAGCAGTGCCTGTGTGTTGGAGCTCAGTTAGGAGTTGAAGGTTTCTTCACCTGTGATAACAAACCCACCAGCCACATGCATTTCTTCTTCCTGCCACTGTGACTCGGTGGCTGTAGAGCCACATGGCATTTGTCAGCCAATCTGTTGCAAGTCTTTTCTTTCCACCAGTAGCTTTCTTACAGATTTTCTTGGCTAAATGAGGCCATGACCTAGAATGTCCCTTCAGTAGGAGCCTGAATCCTTTGCTTACCAGGCTAAGAGCTCTTTGCCATGATAATGCTGTCTGATTCTCTCACACTCATGCAGAGTGTGCCACTGCAGCCCTGTGATGCGTTTTGATTTGGGAGCGAGTTTTCCGGCTTTGATTAGCAGGCTGCTTGCAGTGCGGACCACAGTTCTTTTCTGGGGCAGCAGCAACCAGAGCCTCTTCCTGTGTCCTTTGTGTCTGGTGTGTTTACACCTTGCTCTGAGTTTTTCTCTTGTTTTCTTTTTTTAATTAAGCTTACATTTTAGTTTCTTTGACATCTTGTTTACAGTTTTTGTCTGATGTTTTTTCTTTTATAGTGTCTTATGCCCTAGATTTAGTCATCTTGTTACATATATTTGGATAGGAAATCTTGGCGAAGAGAAAGTAACTCCTGAAAAAGAGGGTCTATCTTGCCACACTTTAAAAACAAAAATAATGTCCTCGAGGTCTCTTGCTTGATAAAGTTGCACCAGGACGGTCTGAGAGAGGCAGGCGGTGCAGCATATGGAGCAATCCATTTTTTCAAGGTGATGACGGCACAAAATACTTAGACTAGGTGCTGGTCTCTATACATTCACTGATATTCTTTCAGGTTGGGTTGTACTGTTAACATTTTTGTCAGCCTGATCTGTAGGTGGGAAATAAGATCATTGTGATTCCCTAGCTCTGAGCACTGATTCAAAATTGTATAAATGATTGAACAACTTAGATGATTTGAAATAAATTGAAAACAGCAAGTAGAGGGCTTGTGGGATTTGCATTTGGCTTTGGCCTTCAAGCATTTGGAAATATTAAGATAATTTCCATTTTACATGTCTCCAACTGCGGTGCTTCTTACAATCCTTTCACTTTTTTTTGAGACGAGTTTCGCTCTGTCGCCCAGGCTGGAGTACAGTGGCACGATCTCGGCTCACTGCAACCTCTGCCTCCTGGGTTCAATGATTATCCTGCCTCAGCCTCCCGAGTAGCTGGGATTACAGGCATGTACCACCATGCCCAGCTAATTTTTGTATTTTTAGTAGAGACTAGGTTTCATAGTGTTGGCCAGGCTGGTCTCAAACTCCTGACCTCAGGTGATCCACCCGCCTCCACCTCCCAAAGTGCTGTGATTACAGGCGTGAGCCACCACACCCAGCCCTTTCAACTAATTTTTGTCAGAGTTCACAATCTCATCCTATGTCGGAAGCTTGAACCTAACTTAAGAAATTTTGAGTCATTTTTTTGGAGGACTGAGACTTTGTCCTACTTACTCTTGAAGAATCCTGATGAAATATTCAAACACATAAAGGGATGGCCCTGGAGGTCTGACCTGCATCCCTGGAGAGCTTCTCTGATCTTGCCTACCTGGAAAGTTGCAGGCTTTGTTGTGGCATCTGTGTGATGAGCTTCCCTGTGAAGCCCTGTTTGACAGGTGAGCCAGCAGTGTTTTATCAGCACTCTGATGGCCCACGTTTCCCAGGAAAACTTCTTGCAACTTGCCCTTGCGGGCAGTGGTCAGAGCATGCGGTTTCTATGACCGTCTCTCGTTTCATCTGTGGAGCACAGCAGTTTCTGTGGCGTTTGGCATAGGTGATGTTGGTTAGAAACCATCCTCCGATTGTTGCTTGTGAAAGCCATTCATAACTTGTTCCTTTTACTTAGTTTTGTTGTTGCTGCTGTTGTTACTGGTTTGGTTTGGTTTGGCTTTGAGACCGGGTCTGGTTCTGTGGCCCAAGCTGGAGTGCGGTGGCGCGATCGTGGCTCCCCGCAGCCTCAAACTCCTGGGCTCAAGCGATCCTCCTGCCTCAGCCTCCCAAGCAGCTGGGAAGATAGGCACATGCCACCACACCCAGCTAATTTTTTCTTTATTTTTTTGTAGAGATGGGGTCTCACTATGTTGCCCAGGCTGGTCTCAAACTCCTGGGCTCAAGCGATCCTCTGGCCTCGGCCTCCCAAAGTGCTGGGATTACAGGCATGAGCCACCATGCCTGGCCTGTTTCGTTTTGTTTCAAGTTGAAATATCTTTCTTGTGTTTTCTGATTAGAAAAGTAATACCTACTTATTGTAAGAATTCCAACAGTGCAGAAATGTAGAAAGTAGAAAAAGTCCCCGGTTGTCCCTTCTGCCTGAGACAACCACTGCTCGCAGTTTGATGTATATCCTTCCAGAGACTCTCACATTTAAGCAAATAATTTTTATCACCACATCTTTTTCTTTGAAGACATACATTTGCCTCCGAAGTTCAACCCAAGTTCAACTGACCATATGCTTCCATGACCTGAATGGATGCTATCCTTTATCACAATGTTCAATTGCCTTTGAAAGAGAGTAGCCCAGGTATATTCCTGATCAAAATTTGGCATTTTTGATGATACTGCTCTGCACAGATCAGACTCACGTGCAGAATCGTGCCTGGAGAGAGAGGTTTGGTTAAGACAGAGATTTCTGGCAACATTCAAATTGCAAATGGAAACTTGAAACCCACGATCTAATGAGGAATGTACTGGAAAAATACTCTGAAGAGTTGACAAATTTGTGTACTAGATTGAACACATGGAATGCAATGCAATGAGACGTTCTGCACTAAAACTTCTCCTAATATGTACAACAATGATATGTGTATTATATAACAGTGATGTGTACATTTCTGACACCCATACATAATAGACACGGTTTGTATAAATGCATACATTTAAAAATATATATGTACAATACAGCTAACATAAAACTGTAGTACGCCTGAAGGATATTACTAGTGCCTAATATTGAGTCAAAGTCACTGCGTGTTCGCATCAACTTGGAAGTGCAGTAATTGTTATAAAATTAATCAGTGCAGCCAACATTATTTATGAATCACATCTTTGAAACTGTGCAGTAGCATATACATATATATTTTTAAATAACATTTTTCACAGTTTTCCAGAGTTACTGTTGAAATCTGCATCACCAAAAAAAAAAGCAAGATTTTTTTAATAATGTAGACACTCTTCAGACCCAGTAATCTGCGTGTGATTTCTTATTTGTAGATTCCCAAGAGACTTTAGCAGTCACCAGCCTTAATGCATGTACAGGATATTATTGTGACTTAATTTATCTGCAGTTTTTAATCCATGTGAAATTGGAATTTATAAACGGACTTGGATTAAATATGTCTGCCTTTCTAAGGTTGCAAATGTTACATTAAATGATTTATGTTGTAAATGAGAGAAGTTGAGTTGTACGTAAAAGACGTCTACCAATTTCTATGAATATTTTTACAAGGAAACTTGAGAATCAAAATACGTTCAAGTCAGTTGTTCTGGCTCCCAGTTTATAATCTCTTTAAAAGCAATCTTTTTGTTTCATAAATGGCTTAAATGTAGCTCCCACAGATTATCAGTATGAAGTCTGACATTTTTCATGGAAAAAAAGTATGTTTTTCTTCATTATAACTATAGTTTACTATTTGTCTTTGCTATTTCCTGATACATATACACACACACACACGCACATACATGCACATATGCACATGCACACTCTCCAGCGTCCCAGTGAAGGCTCAACAGGAAGCTTGAGAAGGTCATCTCAATGGCCACAGAGTTCCTCTTCAACCAGTAGCCCTGGGATGCCTCTTTGCTTGTCATTCTTTAGAGTCACAAGTTACTTCCATGACTTGTGTGCAGTCAGGGAACTGCGCACAACTGAAACGAACATGGTGGAATCATGTTTGCAATTTTTGGTTGAGTAAAATAAGAGAATTTTGAACTAAAGAAGACGGAGGTGTTAGACCAGTGGCTTGACATGAAGTATCCCCTGTGTGGGAGGGTATGTTTGTTAACCTCATTTTTAGCCTTATCTCCCTCCCTTTTCCTTATCCTCCTCCCCAAACTAAAGAAGCAGGAACAGCAACAAAAGCAAAACCATCCCTTCACCCGATCCAGCCCGTATCCTGAGATTCAAATATCCTTTGTCTTTTTCCCCCTATACCATCTGACACAATTCACTCGTGTCTAGAGAGAAAAATGCAGAAAGGGTTTGTTTGCAGATGGGCAGTTCAGTTGAGTCCTCATTAACCAAGCAGAGGGGCGCAGAAGAAGCCTAACTCAGGGTCACCATGGGGAACTCCTCATCCCAAAGATGGGTGGGACAGGGACTTGACTTTGCTTCACCAACCGCTGAGCTTGATACTCTTTCAGAGGTGGTTTGTGCTAAGAAACACCCAGCAGTCTTTCAAGAACGTTCTCTTCTGCAGCTTTGCCTGCTACACAGCTGAAGTCTGTCCCTATAAGAATTATATTTTTAAGAAGTAATATGTTTTCGAAGAAACCCGATCAAGTGGAATCTTGAAATTTTTTTAATGAAAGGGGAAAAACTACCTTACCACATAAACTGCACTTCCAACCATTTGGAACCGGAGTTTATGTCCTCGTTTTCCCGTTCGCAGAAGAGCACAGTTTTTCAATATCACAACTTCCAGCAAATAGCACAAGAAATGTTCAGACTTGAGATTTGTGTTCCTTTTGTCCAGATTATTCTGTATCTGTCACCAAAGGGGTTAACTTGTTTGCCTGGCATGAGGAGAATTATAAACTCGGTTCTCAAACTAATTACATCTGACCACGGTTTTGGTTTGTATTATTTTAATTGGCACTCCGAGGCAGCAAGGGGTAAATTTTGGGTCGGTTGCAAGGGGATTTAGGTTCACAGCTCTTACTTACAGTAATGGGAATCAAGGGATTAAATCTCTGTGTGTTACTTTAAAAATCCACCTCTTACAGCCAATTTTATAGACATTGATCTGAGGGTTGAATTCAGGGCACTAATTGCAAGTCAACACAAGGGTCAGCATTTCTGTTGAAGCCCCGGGGGTATTGATGTAGCCTGAAAAGCTGAATCAAGGACTGGGTTTGGTTTTGTTTTGTTTTGTTTTTACCCATTTTTAAAATAGGAAAGCTCATCCAGAAATACTTGGATCTAGACATGATATAACATAGCACCCATGTTTAGGATTTTCAGAGTGCTGTTGGGTTATTAAAATAATATCGATGTTCTAGTTTCCTTATCGCTGCTTTTCCAATTTTCCATAAAACAAAACTGAATTTTTCCCAGTATTCAGGATCCCTTCATTTCTAGATGCCCACAGGAGCAAAAAGAACATAGTCAGCAGCGAGGAATGTGCGTTACTTCACTAAGCAGCGTTCCGTCCGCAAGAGCCAAGGGTATCTGACTTTTCGAAGAACGTTCTTGGAGTCTCCCATCTTACCTTCATCTGTAGCGTGAGTGATTACAAAGCCCAAAGGATGGCCATGTAGCTGAGATGTCCGTAATTCTAAGCATGCGTCACACGGATCTTTACTGATAGACACTTCCATAGCATCACCAGCCATCTCTGAGGCCTGTTTAAGTGGTGACGTAGCAGCACTGACACTTTCTTTTGAGTAATTTGCAGACTGATTATGAATTCCCTGAAGTTCCAGGGCTTCACACACACACACACACACACACACACACACACACACACACACACACACACACATCCTCCTCTGGACTGGGTTGATTTTTTGTTCCTTTAGAGTTTTTTCCTTGTAAGTTCTATAAGTCAGATTTCATTTCTTGACTCCTTACTATTAATAGAACAGTTGTTAGCAACAGTGGAAGCTTTAAGGAAATAGAGCTCCAGTACAATAATGTGCTCATGTTCAGGCCAGCAGCTGGAACAGTAGCTGGAGTGCCCAAGCACCCTCTTCCTTTGCCCTGCTGCACCTGGTCTTTGAATAAAGCTCCTCTCCATGCCTCAGTTGTCTCTATGTGAAGTGTAACTCAACATGTCAATCACCTTACTGAGCGACTGTGAGGATCGACAGATCCGGGCAAGCTTTTTGAAATACCTAAGTGTCACACTTGACAGGGTTTTAAACATTACTGTAGGAACAGAGGCAAAGGAAATGCATTGTGTCTGCAGGCACCAAGGTGCACACGTGTACAATGTGGGAGATGGAACTTTCTCCTAGGGTCTAGATCTGGACTAGGATCTAGCAGACCAAGAGGGTGAGAGCAGGGTAGCTATACCCACCCCCATGAGATGGGAGGGGACAGGAACAGCCAGGGAAGACACCAAAGAGGGAGCTCCTTCACCTGTGTGGCTACCACTTTGAGGCCTTCCTGGCTGCAGGCAGAGTTCTAACAGACCGAAGTACCCCACTGTGGGTGGTACACCCCATCCTCCTCTTTCTCATCACACCCTAGTTTCAAGAAATCAGAGGGACCAGGCACGATGGCTCATGCCTGTAATCCCTACACTTTGAGATGCCAAGGCGGGCGGATCACCTGAGGTCAGGAGTTTGAGACCAGCCTGACTAACATGATGAAACCTACTAAAAATAAAAAAAAATCAGCTGAGTGTAGTGGTGGGCGCCTGTAATCCCAGCTACTTGGGAGACTGAGGCGGAAGAATTGCTTGAATCCGGAAGGCAGAGGTTGCAGCGAGCTGAAATTGTGCCACTGCACTCCAACCTGGGCAACAAGAGCAAAACTCCGTCCCCCGCCCACCCCTCCAAAAAAAAGCAGGGGCTATCCAGATGGGAAAAGGAAGAAGCACCATGGGGTCCAAGCTTCCAATGGCTGCCGTCTTCCATGAGAAAATAGCGTGCGTACTGCACACCACAGTACAAGTGTCACCAGAGGCCTGTGGCACAGTCGGGCTTCCTGTGTCCCCAGGGTGAGTTCTCTTCATGTGGATCTTGTGCCTCTGATGGTAATTTTTGTTAGGGGGTGGAGGTAGGAGGTAGAGGACACCTGTTCAGGGAAGTTCATCTCTGAGAAAGGAGATCTGTCATAAGGGACTTAGGTATGGCACGCATGAGCTTCGGGAAAGAAAGAGGAAACCTCTCTTGAGAAAATGGGTGATTTTTTTTTTTCTCTAGGGGCTTAGGTGGCTGCATCAACATAATTATTTACTTGTAGGAGAAACCTTAGTGTCTGTACCAGTAGAGGGGAAAATCAACATATGATCTCATCGATCTTTGTGATGCCCAACTCATGACTGGACCTTCTAGCCCCACACATGCAGACAAAGACTAGAAATCCAACCAGTGATCTGGATGTTGCACACCACTAGGGTCAGAGCCCTAAATGCTGGATTGAAATATTTAGCTGCTATATTATTTAGGCCCAGGGCCAGCGTGTCTGTCTGCCTTGCATCGGTAAATCAGTGCTTTGAGCTTAACCAAAGTAATCGTGACATACTCAAGAGTCCCTTCTTTTCATACTCACTGGAAACCCCTTTCCTAACCTTTCTCCAGTTTTTAAAAAAAAAAAAAAAAAAAAAAAAGGAACCATGGCTGGAGATGATGAAAGGTTCAGCCTGATTTATGCCTGACTCAATGCTAATGTCGTTTTCACAGGAGCACGAGACCTTGCCCAGTGCAAGCAAATTCCAAGTAGTTGGCTAAAAACTTCTAGAGTGGCAGCACAATCTTTTGTTTTTTGTTTTTTGTTTTTGTTTTTTTAAGAGAGAGGGTCTCATTCTGTCACTCAGGCTAGGGTGCAGGTGTGCAATCTTGGCTCACTGCAACCCCCCGAGCCCAGGTTCAAGCAATTCTCCTGCCTCAGCCTCCTGAGTAGCTGGGATTACAGGCGCCTGCCACCACATCCAGCTAATTTTTGTATTTTTAGTAGAGACGGGGTTTCACCGTGTTGGCCAGGCTGATCTCAAACTCCTGACCTCAGGTGATCTGCCCTCCTCCACCTCCCAAAGTGCTGGGATTACAGGCGTGAGCCACCGCGCCCAGCCTGGCAACACAATATTTATTAGCAGGAGGAAATACAGTAGGTGGACACTTGGACTTCACCCTTTCTCAGGCAGGGTGCTAAGGGACAGATACTCCTGTTACAGTGTAATAATCTCTTGCTTGCGCAGTTCTGCAAACATTTAAAGTCCGTTGCATGAAGTCTGCCCCAGTCAGTGAAGGAATTTAAAGTTCCACCTTTTTTTTATGCTGTGTGTGTCATCTTGGAGGTTTATTCATGGAGCTAGCAACTCTACTTCAGTATTCTGATATCAAAGGCCTAGTGTGTCATATCGAACACCGTTTCAAATTCTGTGTTTCAGTCTTGGGAAAGCTGTCAGCAACTTGGGAGCCAGCTTACCTCCCTCGAGAATTTTCCAGTGATCCAGCTTTCGCAGTCACAAAAACAAATTATAGGATCTTCATCTTCTTATAGGCATCGATCTTAGGATGGTTTCAAGAATGGAAGAGGATTTTAAATAAGACAATTCTGTATAGTAATATATGTCGTGAAAATGTACATATTGTAGCACTGATGAAAATGCGGTTTTATTAGGTCCAATACCATTTTCATATCTCTTCTAGTTATTCTCTATTAAAGCAGATCAAGTTCATTTTGTTATCTAATACTCATTTGGGGCTTCTTCTTAGTGCATTTGGATGTGATTGTGGAGAAAATC